CAAATCAGCACCCGTATTTCGCGCGTCGCCATTTGACGCTGCCATCGCAAGCCTCTACCTCTCACCACAGAGGCCTATCATCGTCGCCAGCCTCTCCATCACCTCGTCCATTGGCCGTGCTCCCCGTCAGGTGACAGCACGCGCCTGCGGCATTCAGTCCTGCCTCTGCTCGTGCCGTCAATCAGAGGCCCTTGAGCGCATCGTCGCGCCCTGACGTCGCCCCCAAACGGTCGCCGCATAAGCTCCGAGCTCCCGCCCGCCGTTCCGACACCTGCTTGGTTGCACGCCAAAGGTACGTACGCTGAAGACTCCAGCCACTTGGCAATATCCTTCGATACATACCCCTTCCTCCGCGTCGCTTGTCCCTGGCCCAGCCGCCGCTGCATGAATGAACCACGGGATAGCCGGGTGCTTGACGTCGTCTCGTTCAGACGTGCCCCGAGCGCGCAGGCCTGGGACTTGCCCCTCCCCACCTTTTGTCTCGCTCACCTCGAGTTGGGCGCTTGCGAGGTACCCTCCCAGGTGCTGCGAGCGCAATGTCCAAGCGGCACCCGCGTCCGATGGCCTGCTCAGCACCCGCCACCACCTCGAGCACTTATACGGAAACGTTGCTCTCTGCTCTGCCACTTGCGCTGCAGCTCGTCCTTCGTCGCGTCGGCAAGTGCTGAATCATTCCATCCCGGCCTTTGCATCACTTGCCTTGTCAAGTTCCTTTTCCACCCTCCACGTCGCCGAATTGGCGCATTTAGAGGTAGCGACCTGCCTGATTCACACCCTCCCTCATGCACGCGCCCGACACCATTTTCTTGCTCGTCCTCGCGGGCACCACCCATGAGCTCCTCCTCGGACGGGTCTTCAGTCATCATGCACAGCACGCAGCCGCGGTTCTAGCGCGCCGTTGCCCCAGCGCATGGCCTTGCTCTTGCCTCTCGTCTTCTTCGCGGGCCGTATGGAGCGAAGGCGAGAACAAAGGGACTTGCATGGAGTCTGTGCTGCTCTCTTGGAGGCCCCCTCCCCTGGTTGCCTGCACCTCGAGCTTGCCGAGCCTGTAGCCCGGGTGCCGCGATTGATGGCATGGTGGGCCTGGTTTGTGCATGTTTCCGTCATGCATGGGCCTGCCAACGCATCGCGAGTGTGGCTCCAGGCGCCGCCAGCCCCGTCCACCGTCCGCAGAGCCCTGGCCTTCCCGTCGTGTCGCTGTGCCGCCCGACTGCCCTATATACAGCTGAGCTAACGCTTTTGGTTGGATAGATCTCCCAAGCTCTCCATCTAGAGGCCGCCGTGGGAACAAGCGCATTGCTTTGTCTCGCTCGCTTCTTCCCGTCGTCGTCGCACAGTCGATTCGCGCCCGGGTCGGATCTCACGTGGTTCTCCATTCCTCCACGGCCGGACCACCGATCTCGCCGGCACCCCGCAGCCTCGACATCAGCGTGCAGCCAGCTTGGCCGACCCTGGGAGGCCACATCCCACCACCATCTGCCAGCTCATCCACGGTTTCCCGACAGATTGGGTGCCCTTACAGCTCTCCGCGCAGTCGCCGCCGCTTAGCCCAAACCGACAGGGACCGACAGTCTCCCAACCCGCGTGCCCAACCATACCCAAGCCCTTTGTGCGTTTTAAACCCCAGCATTCGCTAGAGGGCCTGTGCCAAACGGTTATTCGTTATCCGCTCCCGCTGCGTTTCCTTGGCTGCTTCCACTATCCCACGATTGACCTCATTCGTGGACCTGGACCCTGAGGTCGCGGTGAACGAATAACATCGAGGACCCCACATAGACGCGCGACGCTTTCGCGATACCTTCAGCACCGTCGCGTTGTCGCGTTGACGGAGGGCACCATATTCGTGGTCCCGCAAGAAGACATTCGGGTTACGCAAACGCGGGCGCGACCGCCGGTCTTGCACCTCTCACCAACCAAAACGGCAATCTACACGCCGCACAATCCCTTCTGGCCCTAGAGCTCCACTCCTGGCAAGAAGACGCAGACGAATACCTTTGACGACGATCCAGTTCAGTCCACATCCAGAACACGCCATGTATCAACCTCAATATGGCGTGCCCCAACAGGGCATGCAGCAGGTTCCATACGGCATGCCCGGAATCCAGGCAGCGGCAATGGCTGCAACGGCCGCCGCGTCTGGCTCGAACTACCCCTACATGCACTCGGACCCAAACATGCCCCAGACCTCACCGAGGATGGCCGACGGCTCTAAGAAGGACAACCGCCAGTCTCCTCGGATGAACAGCATGTCTCAAATACCAGGGCGGCGAATGAGCCAAGTCACAAGTCCCGGCGTACCGACAGGCCCCGGGATGATGGGCCACGGCGCTCCGCGTCCCGGGGTGGCACCACCGCAGATGCCCCCGGGCGCGGGCATGCCGCACCCGCAATCTCCTGAGATGCCCTCCGGCGGCGCGGAAGAGTCGCCGCTATATGTCAACGCGAAGCAGTTCCATCGCATCCTGAAGCGGCGCGTCGCGCGGCAACGCCTGGAAGAGCAGCTGCGGCTGACATCCAAGGGCCGCAAGCCGTACCTGCATGAGTCGCGCCATAACCACGCCATGCGCCGGCCTCGCGGGCCTGGCGGCCGCTTCCTGACGGCTGAGGAAGTGGCAGCGATGGAGCGAGACGCTAAAGGCGGCGACGACGCTGCCAAGTCGGAGGGCGGAGATGCGGCTGCTGCCAAATCCACGGACTCTGCAGGTACGAAGCGCAAGTCTGTAGCCGGGTCTGGGTCCCCTAATAAGAAGTCGAAGACAAGCACCAATAGCCCCGACGACGCCGGCGAAGACGACGGTTGAGGGACCAAAGCTCGTCCCAGCTTCCTCGTACCTACGGTGGTCGGCAGGGCCGCGAGCTCACGATGACTTATGACGGCAGAAGGGGGCGACCGGCCTCTCTCCATTGTGTCTACTTTTGGTTCCAATATCGTGTCGGGCGAGGTGTCGGGGTTGGGGGAGGTGTCCACGGTATAGGGTCTGTTTCGATTTTCTCTTCCGGGGGAGTGTTCCGCGTGCCCGCCGACCGCGGCGAGCTGCGAGGTCCGCCACGCCGGGAGCTCTTTTTTCCCAAGCTGTTTTTTCTAATACACAATCGGACTGGCAACAGCAAAACCTGCGCGTCGCTCGACGCGTGGGGCTACAGGACAACTGGACGGACAGAATGCATGGATGATTCGACACGATGGATACCCCGCTTCCCTTTTTATCGCTTCAATTTACTTTCGCTTCCGCGTTCTTGCCACCTTATTTTAGCTCTGCCATTCCGAGCCCGATCCATGGTTTTGTGCTGAGCATTCCCCAGCGGCAGGTCGCCGGGGTAGTGTGACTTGCGAAGATCGAGGCAGGGGTGTTGACCAGGCAGAAGAAAACAACCAGCAACATACAAAAAAAAAGGTTGATAAATGGCTACAGAAAACCCCCAAAGGGAAAACAAAGTACCCATCTAGTTACATGCCTCTCAGATGAGGGAAGACTATGTTGGGACGCTTGGACGACTTGCTCAACTTTTGAGGAATGGATATAGATCAGGGGAAGGCTGTCCGTCGCCGGATATCACACGGGAGAATGTCTTCTGCCTGCGTTTACCTCTCAAGGTCATTACCTACCTTAGTATTTTTGAATGATATCATACACACCTTGCTCGCCCAGGCCGAGTGGATTGAAGCCGTGCCGTAAAATGACTCGGGCTTTGGTCGCCGACCCCCCTCCGAGCAAAAAGCCTCGCCCTGGCGATGAAGCACGCGGGCCGGCATTGCCTTGTTTGACCCGACAGACATTTGTGGTTGGTCGGCCCGGATTCTCGCAAGCCGCCTGGGCCGCCTCCATCTCCATCGGGTTGAGTTAGGACCGGCCAAATCTGGGTCTGGGTGCAGGTGGGGGCGACCCCAGGCCCCAGCCGGTCCCGAGGCGCCACTCGCTGGACCTCGGCTTGCCGGGGGCTCCTTGAACCAACATACATCAACCAGAGGGGACCTCCTCTATTCCGTGATACGTCACGTTGAACGGCTTCTGGACGTCCCCATCGAGTTTCTGCGCCAGGCCCTGTGTTGCTGCGAGATACCAGCTGTTTGATAACCCATTCAAACGGCCGAGAGACGTGCAAGGCTGCGTTCAATTGGCCGCCTGCTCTTCGTCACGCGACCGGTGCAGACACACACAGCCTTGGGTGCAAGCATCGAGCGTCTTCGGCATCATCGACCAGCACTACCGCCATCATCATCATCATGGCGGGCGTTGTACGGCAGCCCATCGACGAGGCGGCGTTCAGCAAGTTCGTCGCCGAAAATGTCCCGCAAATCAAGACGCCAATTGAGCTGAAACAGGTGAGATCTCTGAGCCGACTCGAGGGCGCCGGCCAGTTCCGCTCACCACTGCTACGCGCAAACAGTTTGGGTTCGGGCAGTCGAACCCAACGTACCAGGTCACAGGCGCCGACGGGCAAAAGTTTGTCATGCGCAAGAAGCCGCCGGGGAAGCTGCTTTCCAAGACGGCTCACAAGGTCGAGCGCGAGTATCGTATCATGCACGCGCTCGAGAAGACGGACGTGGCGGTCCCCAAGACCTACTGCCTGTGCGAAGATGAGACCATCATCGGAACGCCTTTCTACATCATGGAGTTCCTTGACGGCAGGATCATCGAGGACTTTACGCTTCCGGACGTGACGCCGGCGGAGCGCACGCAGATGTGGCGTGCGGCCGTGGAGACGCTGGCGCGCTTCCACGCCGTTGACTACCGCTCCGTCGGGCTCGAGAGGTTTGGCAAGCCAGCGGGCTTCTACAGCCGCCAGACCCAGACGTGGAGCACCATCTCCGCCCACCAGGAGGTGGTGCGCGACGTGGACACAGACGAGCAGGTTGGCCGGATGCCTCACTTTGAGGAATTGGTGGGCTTCTTCATGAACGAGAAGCTGCAGCCCAAGGACCGGGCCACGCTGGTACACGGCGACTACAAGATCGATAACCTCGTGTTCCACAAGACGGAACCGCGCGTCATTGGCATCCTCGAGTACGTTGTCGCACACTGTTCCCTTCGCGATTCCCGCCCTTGCGAGACGCTTTCTCTAGCTACCAGAATGCTGACAGTGACAATCTAGCTGGGAAATGTCCACGGTCGGGCACCCCCTTTCTGACGTGTGCAACCTCCTGATGCAGTACTTCACGGTGCGACATGAGGGCGCGGCGCCGGAATCGGCGTTGGGCTTCCTGCCGGGCCGCACGCCCGGTCTCCCGACGGTGGACCAGATCCTCGGATGGTACTCTGCCATCTCGGGCTACGACCCGACAAGCGAGCTGAACTGGGGAATGGCGTTCAACGTGTTCAAGCTGTCGGGGGTGTGCCAGGGCATCGCCGCGCGATATGCCCGGCGGCAGGCGAGCAGCGCCAAGGCCCAGCAGTACACCAAGACGTGGCGGCCGCTGGCCGAGTTCGCGTGGCAGCTCGCGCAGGAAGCCAAGGGCGACGGGCCGCGGCTGTAGAACGCGGGCGAAGGGGCGAAGAGAAGGGGGCTGTCTTGCAAGGGGGACTCTGTGGCAGTGAATTCGACGGGCAGTATTTCAGCCTTGAACCGAGCTGGGGACGGCGATTCCTAGGTTCTCCCTGAAGTGACAGCCTGAATGTCTTCGATTGCGAATCTACCTAGAGGCCCTGTGTAAAAATTTAGAATTTGTTGTCAATCTGGTCGAACCATTACAATGCTGAAATCAGTTGGAAAGCGAGCATCCGTCGGCTGTCCGGCGTGAAGCCGGCATCCTCGGCATCGGAGCGGGTGCCGACTGGAGTGGAGGCCGACCACCGACTGATGATGGCGGCCTGAAGGACCCGACAGATCCACGGATGGGACTGGACCTTAGGTTGGAAGTTTGGAACAGTGCCCAGGTGGAGCTCTCCACTGAGCTTAAAGTTACAGCGCGCATGCGCTGGGCGACCGCTGCTGGCACCAGGCCTCGTGGGCGTTCTGGGCGCCTGCCTGTGGGGGCGCCAATGAGGTAACTTGCCGTCTCCAGTCCCGAGAATCTGAAACCCCTGCTGCCATGACGCCAACGTGCCACTCCAGGGCTGTGTCTTCCTGTCTGCTTTCTGCTGTCACACTCACCGCCGACCTTTGACGAGACTCAACTTTCGTTTCATCCCCGTCACCAACCAATCTCGACCTCCGCCACCTCTCAACTTGCAGCATCTGCAGACCTGCGTCGAAAACTCTGCGCTCCACGGCCTGAAGGGCCATAATTCGCCGTCAACGACTCCCAAGCCTGCTCTCATTCTCATCCCTGACCGGCGCGACGCGTCCGCATGGCGGCAGACACCCGGCGGCGCCGCATCACCCTGCCGCCGCCCGCCGAGGAAAGGCGACCGCTGCTGAGCCGCCTGTACACCGACCATGGCGACGACGGAGATAGAGTCTACAGCTGCATGACCAACCCGCACAGCCACTTGCCTGTGTATACAAACATCCATCGCATACGGCGCGACATCACGAGCGTGGTCGAGGACTACCTGAGCCTCGAGCAGCTGAGGGATGTGAGGATCAACGTCACCGTTGTGAGGCCCCTGGTGGATCAGTTCTACGAGCTTGATGACATTTCCATCAGTGCGCTTCCCCTGCTCTCGGACTAACCGTATGCGTGAATCCTGACCATCTTGCTCAGTCTACTGCCTGCTCGTGAACCGCGCTCAGTTTCTGGTGGAGGAAGCCCATTCGAGTAATCGGCAAAACGTCAACTGGACCCGCGCCACCCTCTGTGAGCTCATCGCAACGCGCATCCTCCGACGCTTCGGCGAGGACTATGACGGCACGGACGGGCTCCTTCTCCTGGCGCACATTCTCGTCGCCGGCTTCGAGCCCTTCCAGAATGCACCTCCACACATTCGCGAGGAGGCCGAGGCGCACACATCGTGGACCTACCAGCGCACGCTGCCCGCGCTCGAGGTGGCCATCCTGACGGAGAGCAAGCACTTTCTGAGCTCGACAACATGCCAACGAGTGGTCACAGCCATCTACGAAGGACGCATCATCTACACGCCGTCGACGTATTGGGACATTATCCCTGACCACTACAAGTTGAAGCCGATATCCATATACGACCCTCGCGAGTCGCCACTTTTGAACCAATATCGACTAATCGTACCCCGCACGCGCAGCATTCTCGAGGCGATCCAGTTCGCCATCCTGCTTGCCCTGTATGTCGGGATCATGCTCGCCAGGAGTAAGGACCGTTTCACCGTCCTGGAGGCGGCCTTTGCCATATACGCCTTCGGATGGGGCCTCGATCAATTTGCCACAATCCTCGCCCATGGATGGTAAGAGATCCCGGTCTCGCGTTGGGGCCCTTTTCATCATCACTAACAAGCATCCAGGGGCGTGTACACGCAAAACTTGTGGTCGTTTCTCGACGTGGCTTTCATATTCATCTACCTCGTATACTTGTTGCTGCGCATGCACGGCCTCCGGGTTGGTGAAATTGGGCCGGCGGAGCAGGCTTTTGACGTCCTGGCTTTGGCTGCGCCTGTCCTGGTGCCCCGGCTGGCGTTCAACCTCCTTTCTGACAACCTGGTATTCCTCGCGCTCAGGTCGATGATGGCAGACTTCATGCTCCTTACAGCGCTGTCTGCGTGGTGCTTTTTTGGATTCTTGTTGTCTTTGCTGTGGCTGGGAGAAGGGGCACATCCTCTTGTGTAAGTTCACGCCTGTTCGCCAGGCCGACTGCTCGCTGACACTTTCAGAACAATATCAAAGTGGATGATATACATCTGGTTTGGTCTGGACGGCACGGGAATTCAGCGATCGGTAAGCTATATCGGCCTGTCTCATAGGGCTCTACTGACATATTATTCAGACAGAGTTCCACTGGCTTCTGGGACCGAGTCTCATGGTGGCATTCGCCTTTCTCGGCAACACTCTCTTCCTCACGATCCTCGTTTCGATGCTGTCCAATACGTTTAGCAACATTTCCAGCAACGCAACGGCCGAGATCCAGTTCCGCCGGGCAGTGTTGACGCTCGAAGGGGTCAAGGCCGATGCCGTCTTTGCCTACCAGCCGCCGTTCAATCTGTTGGCTGTGTTCTTTCTGCTCCCGCTCAAATTTGTAGTCAGCCCGCGGTGGTTCCATAAGATCCACGTCGCCATGGTGCGGCTGGTGAATCTCCCCTTGCTGCTCATTATCGCCATGGCAGAGCGGCGCTTTTTCTGGGGAGCGGGCTCCAAGACCGAGACTGTCTATCCTCGGGCACGGAAGTGGTTCTGGCGCAAGTGGCAGCTGTCGGCTCATCGGTACCTCCGCGCAGTGTTCCAGGTGCCGCCGCCAGACGATGTGCACAACGACATTGCCGTGGACGACGACCTCACGCATCACCTCATCCGACGACAATTCACCAGTGAGACGTCGGCGCAGACGCAGGTCCCACGGAAGCCCTCGCGTAGGGACTCGATGTTTCCGGGGCTGGCCACTAAGCTGCGAGGTTCCTTTACCGAGGGCAGCGAGGATTATGAAGGCATGGCGGGTAGAGTGGCTTCCATGGAAAAGTCCATGCGACGCATGGAGATTATGCTGGCAAGACTGCTCCCAGAGGAAGAGGAGGCTCTGGATGACGAGTCGCCCGATGAGATGGGAGAGAGCAGTACGCTCAAGGAGGGGGACGGATTCACAACAGAATCGGCGTACCGGGGACAGACGTGATTTCATGATATGAAGCATGGCGTTGTCTGGTGCCCTTGTCGGATTTGTATCGGAGTTGCCATACAATGGGATATATGTGGCTAATCAGCCGCTTGTCTGTTGCCACCTTAACTCCTGTGTTTTGTCTGAATGCCCACGTGCCGAATATAAGAAAACCAGTGACACTTTGTTCAGGCTTGCCGCCGGGCAACTGCCGCAGCTTCCAACTACAAACCATTCTACACTGAATCACCGCACAGCTCCAAAGTCACCGCTACCCTTCCCACGACCGAGATTCTGCCCAAAGCACGGGCAGTGTGTGCAAACAGCACACCAGCACAAGTCAATCGAGCGTCTATACCGACCTACGATACTCAATGTGCACCGTCACCTTCTTCCAGCACAAGGGCTGCAAGCACACATGGGCCACGATAACTGAACCCTGCGGCCCGGGGATGGGCTTCGCCACATGCCCCAACATCGGCGACGGATCAACCAAGGAGACGCCCCGGCTGCACAAAACCAAAACGCGACCGTGTCCGCGATGTAGCGCGACGCAGCCGATGTTGGGCGCCGAAGTCGTGGTGGCCTATGACCAGAACGTTGTGCGGATGGTCGGACGCATGGGGTGGGGATTCAAGCTTGGGTGTGGTCCGGACGAGGATGATTGGGGCGTTGATATACGATTCTCCAATGGGTGTGTCGTGCTGTAAGGAATGAGGGTTAGGAACTTATTTGGGGAGATGGTGGTTTGGGTTGATGATGGGGGATCGTGGTGATGTATTGAAGGTGAAGACTACTGGGCGTTTGTATGGAGACTGGATCCTCATCCAGCCCCTCAACACCAACGCTTCACTACCAAATTTCACACACTTCACACAGCGCTCATCAACACGACACGACAATTCGGAAGCACTTGGTCTCACTCCTGGGTGATTTTATTTATATCAAAACAAGAAGCGCGTCGGGCGAGGACTGAATCGTGTCTCCCCGCGAGGGGCTTTCGCCGGAAAACTCATCCACCACTGCCCGCCCCAGACACACCACGACCAGACATCGCGCAAGCACCATGCTGCCAACGCCCGACACATCACACGTCCCCTATGAACGGGTCTACGAGCCCGCAGAAGATTCCTTCCTTCTGCTAGACACCCTCTCGTCCGACTCAGAGCGCGCCTTCCTGCGGGACGAGTTCTCGCACACGACGCCCCTAGTCGTCGAGCTCGGCACCGGCTCGGGCGTCGTCCTCGCCTTCGTGCACGCCCACGCCGAGACGCTCTTCGGCACCCGCCGCGTGCTCACCGCCGGCGTCGACATGAACGCCTACGCGTGCCGCGCGACGGTCGCGACGGCCCGCAGGGCGCAGGCCGACAACCCGGCCACCCACGGCGTCTACCTGGGCTCCTGCATGGGGGACCTCGCGGCGCCGTGGCGCGACGGGTGCGTCGACGTGCTCGTCTTTAACCCGCCGTACGTGCCGACGCCGGAGATGCCTGCGCGTCCGGAGGACTGGGCGGATGCGGTGCCGGCGCCCGGGCAGACGCCCTCGTTTGACGACGATTCGTACCTGCTGTCGCTGTCGTACGCGGGCGGGATGGACGGCATGGAGACGACGGACCGGCTGATTGAGCGCTTGCCGCAGATACTCTCCCCGAGAGGCTGTGCGTACATTCTTCTCTGCGCGCAGAACAAGCCGAACGAGGTCAAGAAAAGGATAGAGGCGTTTGGCCCGGAATGGAGAGCGCTGACGGTGGGATCGAGCGGCAAGACCGCCGGCTGGGAGAAGCTTCAAGTCATACGAATATGGCGAGATACTACAGGTACATCATGACATGCACAAGGCGAGATAAAGGAGAAAATAGTGTGTTGCTGGGCATGCGGAGTCTGTATTCAGGAGCCACGTATTGGCTCGCCCCCCGTTTGTGTCCTCCAAGCAAAGTGCCAGCATCGCGTGTAGAATCGATTCCAGTTTTGAGTGACCAAACGTCCAAAAACGCCAAACCCGTCGCCTTGCGATATCGTCGTGACAACCACCGCGCCGTCTCTATATGCGATTCGTCGGGAAATCCGCCTTCCTGCGCGCAAGAGGCCGCCCGCACTGCCGCCGCCGGAGCTGCGCCGCAGGTCCAGCCAAAGTATTGCTCAATCGCCCGCGTCCCCCGTTTGCCTTAGCCCCGGCCACGGCCACGACCGCGACCGCGCCCTCTGCCGCCTCCTCTGCCGCGGCCACGTCCTCGGTCCGTCTCCTTGCGGGCCTTGTTCTTGGGCTTGGGCGCGTCGTCTACGAGCAGCGTGTCGAGGGGGAGGGAGTCGGGGAGGATGAAGTAGCGGATCGTCGAGCCGCGGATGTTCATGGTGTCGAGCGAGACGGGGCTGCCGCCCTTGGGCGTCATCTTGACGGTGCGGAGAGCCGTGTTCATCTGGGGCGTGACGCTTGCGATCGTGCCGTGGACGATGGTGCCTGTAGGCGGGCAAGGGTCAGTATGCGAGCGACGCGACCCTCGTTGCCGGCCGCGCGAGCGGTCGATCAAGGTCGGGGATCAGGCGGGACAGGAAAGGTACCATTCTTGAGCTCGATTGTCACCGTCTCGTTGGCGCACTTCATCAAGAATCTGATCGCGCGACGTCAGAGAAGCTCAGGCTTCGCGAGGAGGGGGCGCGGGCATTGCAGGCGGAGCTGCGCGGACATCGCGGCTGCGAGATGCTTACCTGACGAGCTTCATCTTGGCGACTTGAAGTGTTGAGGGTTTGTATGCGGGTGTGTGGTGGTGCAAGTTGCTGGGGTTATGACCTCTGTCGCTTGAGGCTTCTCCAGCTGCGTGCCTGGCGGAGCTGCTGTCTGTAGCCTCGAGTGGTAGCCTCTCGAAATTGTACGTCGGAAAAACACTGGCAGCGGAGGGACCAAGTCACGTGACTGCACCCAGTGTCTCCATCACGTGGGCAAGGTGAGAGGTGAGAGGCAGCTGCCCTCCTATAAAGAGAGGTGCAGTGCGCTTCAGCACATCAACGTCACACCAGTAATTTACTTCAGACATGGGTCTTGCTCCCCAAAAAAGGGCCCCTTGAAATAAAAGCAACGCTTTTCGTCTCTCAAATTATATTCTCACGCATCTAATGAATATTGCTGCCTGCATTGCGTCGCGGAAAACGTGTAGTTGAGGAATTGCATGCTTTATTTTTGTCGCCATCTGGCGGCCCAACTAGCCTTATCGATAAGACCCCCTTCAGCGCCTTCGGCAGGGGACGCGGGCCGGCGCGACCTAGGTGGACGGGTGTGGGCACCTGCGGAAAGTTGCCCCTCGTTGACTCGAACCTCTATACGAGCGCTCAACTAGCAAACGGTCTGCCGACGCTGCGCAAGGCTTCCACCCCGGCAAAACTCCTGCGATGGGCCAGGAAGCACACTGAGTCAGCTCTTCGTCCGGGCTAACATTTCTGTTCGTTCGGTGTCTCGCACGGACTTGGTCCCTGGCCCTGGTTGCCGCTGCCTCCGTCGCATCGTTCTCGACTGCCAACTTCACGATCCACGACTTCCCCACGGCGCGACGCTCACCGGACAAGGCCACACGGCCGTCAGCGCAACATGATTTCTGGAAGAGGGGGCTCGGGCGCTCGCGGTGGCCGTATCCGACCGCCCCGTCGCTTCGTACGCGTATGGAGTTTTCCCCCCCCCCCCTCTCTTAGTCAAGACAGAGCGGCCCTGCTGACGTTCTTCCTCTCCTGCAGTCCAACGGTGACAGTAGCGACTTCGACGAATGCTGGCGCATGCTTCAGGAGGCCCTCCGAGATATACACAACAAGTGCTGCGGCCGTTTATCGTTCGAGGAGCTCTACCGAGCTGCGTACAAGATCGTGCTGAAGAAAAAGGGCGAGGAGCTCTACGATCGCGTCAAGCAGTTTGAAGAGCAATGGTTCGCCGAGCGAGTCATCCCCAAGATCGAGGTCCTCGTGACCAAGAGCCTCATCAGTATCGGGATGGGCCAGTCATCGAGCTCCGCCAACGAGAGGCGACAGACGGGCGAAAAGTTCCTCAAGGGAGTCCGAGATACCTGGGAAGATCACAACATGTCCATGAACATGACTGCAGACATCCTCATGTACCTCGACCGAGGATACACTCAGCAAGATGCCAGCCGCGTCCCCATCTTCGCAACAACCATAGGGCTCTTCCGGGATCATATCCTGCGCTCCTGTCTCAACGAAAACACCAGCCAGCTTGTCATTGATATTGTCATCTCTGTCATGCTTGACCAAATCAACATGGAGCGGGAGGGTGACATCATCGATAGAAACCTCATACGCAGCTGCAGTCGGATGTTTTCCTGCCTGTACGAAACCGAAGACGAGAGCGAGAGCCAGACGCTCTACTTGACGGTCTTTCAACCCCGATTCTTGGCGAACAGCGAAAAGTTCTATACGGAAGAGTGCCAGCGTCTGCTGAGAGACGCCGATGCGAGCACGTGGCTGAGGCATACGCAGCAGCGTCTGAACGAGGAGGTTGACCGATGCGGGACTACCGTTGAGCTGGAGTCGCTGCCCCACGTCCTGGCCGTCATCGATCAGGCGCTCATCCGAGAGCACCTGCAGGAATTCCTCACCATGGAGGGCAGCGGATTGAGATGGATGGTTGACAACGACAAGCTTGAGAATATGGCTATCCTGTACAAGCTCATTTCTAGGATCGACGAGAAGAAGACTGCGCTCAGGGAAACCCTGCAGAAGAGGATCGTCGAGCTCGGTCTGGACATTGAGCAGTCCCTACGGAACACCGACTTTTCTACAGCTCAAGCCGGCGAGGGAGAGGACGGAGGCGACGGCGAAAAGACCAGGGTACTCAACCCTGCAGCACAACAAACGGCCGCGGCAATCAAATGGGTGGACGACGTTCTCAAACTCAAGGACAAGTTCGACACCATACTGAGACAGTGCTTCCAGGACGACCTCGTGATGCAAACATCACTGAGCAAGAGCTTCTCCGACTTCATCAACATGTTCAACCGAGCGTCCGAGTATGTCTCGTTGTTCATCGACGATAACCTGAAAAGGGGAATCCGGGGCAAGACAGAGGCTGAAGTCGACGCAGTGCTGGAAAAGGCCATCATCCTCATCCGCTATCTACTGGACAAAGACCTTTTCCAGACGTATTACCAGCGTCATCTCGCCCGCAGGCTGTTACACGGCAAGTCTGAGAGCCATGATGTCGAGAAGCAGATTATTTTTCGCATGAAGCAAGAGATGGGTCAGCAGTTCACAACCAAGTTTGAAGGCATGTTCCGAGATCTCGTCACGTCGTCAGAGCTCACAGCGACGTACCGCGAGCACATGAACAACGTCGGCGGCGGCGACAAGACCATCGACTTGAACGTCAACGTTCTAACGACGAACTACTGGCCTCAGGAGATCATGGGACGCAGCGCAGCCATCGGGGAGGGCTCCCGTGTGTCGTGCAACTACCCGCCTGACCTGAAGCGGGTGCAGGCCAGCTTCGAGCAGTTCTACCTCTCAAACCGCAACGGCCGGAAACTAACTTGGATCGGTTCTACGGGCAGCGCCGACGTCAGATGCACCTTCCCTGCCATACCCGGAAAGTCTGGGCCGTTGGCACGAGAGCGCCGCTACGAAATCAACGTCCCAACCTTTGGCATGGTGGTGCTGTTGCTCTTCAACGAGCTGGAAGATAACCAGAGCTTATCCTTTGAGGAGATCCAAGACAAGACCGGGATCTCGACTCAGGACCTGATGAAGACTCTGACGGCGATTGCGGTGGCACCAAAGTCGCGCGTGTTGCTCAAAGACCCGGCCAGCCGGTCGGTCAAGGCAAGCGACAAGTTCTCATTCAACGCGTCTTTTGTGAGCAAGACTGTCAGAATCAAGGCGCCCATCATCAACGCGGTGTCCAAGGTCGAAGACTTGCAGGAGAGGAAAACGACGGAGGAGAAGAACAACCAGACGAGGGCTCACGTCATCGACGCAGCCGTTGTGAGAATTATGAAGTACGTTGCTGCCCTACACTGTCTCCTTGAATTATCGCTGACAAACTCTACAAACAGGTCCCGAAAGGAGCTCAGCCACGCAAACCTCGTGAGCGAGGTCCTCAGCCAGCTCTCGTCTCGATTCAAACCGGAAGTGTCACTGATCAAGAAGCGCATCGAGGACCTCATAGTTCGAGAGTACCTGGAGCGGCCGGACGAGGAGGGCGCGCCGTCCATGTACCGCTACGTGGCGTGATTACCTTCGGCGGGTTGGGGTTCGGGCTCACGAGTAATGAAGGAATGGGATGCATTTGCATGCGGAACGGCGCAATGGTACATTTGGAACAGCAGAGGTTGGCCTAAGCACTCGGAGAGGCGATTTGGTCCAGGGTGGTGTAGATTGAGGAGTTGGTCGAGCAGGCAAGCCCGATTTCAATATAGACAGAGGCTCTCGTTGAGCCTGGCACATTGCGACAATAATGTCTGACAGAAGATGTTGGATCAAAGAGGGCATTTCAGCGCGCAGTTCGATAAAGAACACGGGCGAAAAGTTGAAGACTGCCGCCATCCATGATGTCGGGAGCCAACAGCGCTAGGAGCCCAGCGGAGGACGTTACCGCGCTGTTAGTGATGGGCTCGGCGTAGGTTTGCGGCCTCGGCGCCAGGCCCCGAGGTGGCATCCGAAGCTCCGACGGCAACGCTAGCAACTCCCCCTCCGACGGTCGGCCGCCGACGACTGAGACGCGCCGCATTACGAACCTAAATACCACTGTATACTCCCTCTCATCGGAACGACAGCTCTACAGCACCGTCTCAATCGCAACCGTCAGGCACGAATTCGCAGCAAATTCCGGCACGATGTTTGCGCTCAGGCGGACAATGGCCACCATGGCCGCGCAGGGGTCGCCGTTCAAGCAGGCCGGCAAGGTCGTCTGCATCGGGCGCAACTACGCGTGAGTTTCGATCCATTCATGTCACTGAGACACAGCGCCCGCCCGCGCCATCCCAAGCCACGAGGACATGGAACGCTGACATGGCGCACGCAGGGACCACATCGCGGAGCTCAAGAACATGAAGCCCAAGCAGCCCTTCTTCTTCCTCAAGCCCACGTCGTCGATCCTGCTCGCCGGCGAGGGGCCGTGCCTGCGGCCCAAGGGCGTGGACATGCACTACGAGGTCGAGCTGGCGCTCGTCATGGGCAAGATGGTGAGGGACCTGCGCGCCGACGACACGCAGGGCGCGCTCGACGCCATCAAGGGTACGTGACCCCGGTCGATCGACCATCTCGGCATCCCGGACACTCGCCCTGCCCTCGCCTCAGCGGCGAGCGGCCTTGCGTGAAAGCTTTGTGCAAGTACGATTGCTGACCACGGACGGGACTGACCCGGGGGCAGAATACGCCGTGGCCATCGACATGACGGCGCGCAACGCGCAAAACGAGGCCAAGCGCAAGGGCCTCCCCTGGGACATCGCCAAGGGCTTCGACACGTTCCTGCCGCTGAGCGGCGCGATCCCCAAGGCGGCCATCGCGGACCCCCACGACGTGGAGCTCTTCCTCGAGGTCAACGGCGCGGAGCGGCAGCGCGGGTCCACGGGGCTCATGATCTACCGCATCCCGCGCGTGCTGAGCGACATCTCCAAGGTCATGACGCTGCACCCGGGCGACATTGTGCTGACGGGCACGCCCGCGGGCGTCGGGCCCGTGGCGCCCGGCGACGTGATGCGCGCGGGCGTGCGCGTGGGCGGGCGCGAGCTCGAGGAGGGGAAGCTCGAGGTGAGGGTCGAGGAGTCGCCGTCTTCGTACGTGTTTGCCGAGACGTGAGGCAGGATGGACGGACGCGTGCGAGAGAGAGAGAGAGAGACGGTATATTTGTAAATATAAATAAATATGGAGATGGAGACGTCAATAGAGTACATGCACGCACAACTGCTCTCCTCCCGGCCAAGCCGGATCATCGCCCTCACATTCAACCGCTATTTGTCAACCGCAACGCCCCGTTCGCCCAGTGCCACCTCACCTCACTGCCCAGCTTCAACGCCCCAGCCCGTACGCCTCCGGCTGGAGGTTCGGGTCCGGAATAGACCCCGGCTTCGGCGCCCAGTCGGCGAGGGTGCCGCAGCGACCACACGCACGCTTGGCGTCGTCGGCGCGAAAGTCCTCGACAGCCTGCTTGATCTGGGTCCCGAGATCGGTGCAGTGGAAAGCCGCCTCGTGGACGACGACGGCATCCGCAGCGGGACACGCGGCGCAGTACCAGCGCATCCTGTCGACCGAGTCGACGGGGCGGCGCTGCTCGAGCACGATGCCGACCGTGTCGGCGAAGCGCACGGGGTTGTGCGGCGTGTTGGCGGGCAGCAGGAACATGGCGCCCTCGGGGATGACGATGTCGCGGAAGGAGCCCTCGTCGACGACCTTGAGGACCATGGCGCCGCGGTACTGGTAGAACCACTCGGGCGTCTGGTTGATGTGGTAGTCGGTGCGCGCGTTGGGGCCGCCGACGATCTATAACGGCGAGGGGGTTGTTGAGTACGGCTTCGGCGAGGGGAGGGGAGGGGGGGGGGCGGGAGCAGACGGACCATGACGGTGACGTCTTCATTGTAGACGCAGTAGTTGTTGATGGGCGGCTTGAGCAGGTGACCATTCTCCTCGAGCCTTGGATAAGTGAGCGACTGAGTGAGTGCACTGTCGGATGCTTGTCTGGCATCCCGTGTGAGAGGCTTCGTCGACTCACCACTTTGGCACGTTGAGCGGCGGTCCAAGCATGTTGGCGGCTCACGCCCGAGGGGCTCAGATGACCGAGGTCCAATTCTAGCCTTGCCCTTGCTCTTGATGCTCGCGCGCGGGGGGACACAAATGAGCGCTGAAGCTGTGATGAGCTGTATGTAGTTGTATGTTGAAGTCAAGTGACGTGAGAGGCTGGGTTGCGCGCCCGACGACAGTCACAAAAAAAAAATGCTGTTCGTGCAAAACCAGGCCCGTTTGTAAGCGTCGTTGCGTCGATGAAGGTTGCAAGAGGCGCGCGAGTGACCCGACGGTGCCGCGATTCTCGGAGATAAGATGATCAAATCAGTGACGAAAGGGCGCGCACGTCGGATCAGTCGATTCCGGTCGGAACGGCAGTCGCGGCGGCTGCAGGTTGTAGAAATGCGTGGTAGGCACGTTGTATTACTCCGCGGATTTGGGGGGGGCCGTCCATCGTTGGTGGCCAGTTTTGGACAGTTCTTTGGTTGCTGAGCTTAGCTTTGAGAATTGAGAGATACAGTTACTCACTCAGGCGGTGGTGCGAAGACCCTCCGACGCATGTATGAGATGGCGGCTCGGTCGTCATGATCAAGGCCTGTTTGGGTGTGTAACGGCAACACAGGGCCCAGCAAGCCCAGACAGGCTCAACTCATCGGACGGCGCATGGGGGAGCCGCGTCCTCGCTGATAGGCGCAAAACGTGCTCAATTGCTTCCCGGCAGACGCGTGCATAAGAATTAACTTGGGATTACGAAGTACAGGCAGACCTGCAGCGTCAGGGTGCCCGAGGTCCCTGCATCTGCCGTGATCCCCCAACGGCATCATAGACCAGGGCCCCATCAAGTCCCCAGCCCAGGGCCCAGGTCTTTTGGCGGCATTTTTGCGGCGCTAGGAGGCGGGACGGGAACCGTTGGAGGAATGAGGTGCCTGGGTGAGCCCCTCCAGCTCCCCTGGCGGTCCGCTGACAGCGCGTGCCCCCCGCCAGCTACCCCCCGGGGCCCAGCCCACCTGGGCACCTAGGCTCCAGCTGGAGGTTAGGTGCAGTGCCAGGCGCGCCTCATGGCGCCATCCGGCGGCATCCCGTCCAACACTGGAAACGTGCTCAAACGGCAGACAAAGCTCCCTGCGTCACCCGCCCTGCCCTGCCCTGCCCTGCCCTGGACCCCAGGCATATAACCTGCACCTCACCTCACCTCACCTCACCTCACCTCACCTCTTCTCGCCTCAATCTAGAACCTGTCTCTTATACACATCTAGATGTGTATAAGAGACAGCATATAACCTGCACCTCACCTCACCTCACCTCACCTCACCTCACCTCTTCTCGCCTCAATCTAGAACCTGTCTCTTATACACATCTAGATGTGTATAAGAGACAGACACCAACCCCGTCCACGTCAACGAGGGCGTCTGACGCGACGCCGCGCCGCCAGCATCCATTGATTTCGCCATGGACCACGCGCACATGGACCACTCGCACATGAACCACGCCGGGATGGACCACGGCGGCGGCGGCCACGGCGGCATGGACGACATGTGCAGCATGAGCGTACGTGGCAGGCCAGCTTTCCCCATCGACCAGAACGGCCACAACGTAGCTAACGGAGCTTGGTATCCAACGCGCAGATGCTCTTCACCTGGGACACGACCAACCTCTGCATCGTCTTCCGCCAGTGGCACATCCGCTCCACCGCCTCCCTCATCGTCTCCCTCCTCGCCGTCGTCCTCCTCGCCATGGGCTACGAGGCCCTGCGCTCCCTCTCCCGCGCCTACGAGGCGAGCCTCGCCAAGCGCATCTCCGCCATGCCCAGTGAGCTTCTCCCCCATCCCCTTTCCTCCTCCTCCTCCTCCTTCCCCGTTTCTTAACGAAACCCTCCCTCCTCCTCCTCCTCCTCCTCCTCCTCCTCCTCCTCCTCCTATTGTGCCCATCTTCCCCGCCTCCCCATGGGATTTGCGGCCAATGCTGAGGCCCGTGCTTTTCTTTTCTTCGCCGCCGACGCAAAAAGACGACGATGATGATAATTATACCCGTCGTCGTGCCGATGACCCACCTTCCAACCTCGTTGCTGTTACTGAGACGACTCCCTTCCTGCGCCCAGGGCAACTCCAGGACGAGACGGCCCGCCGGGGCCACATCGTCAAGGCCGTCCTCTACGCGCTGCAGAACTTTTACGCCTTTATGCTCATGTAAGTTTTTCTGCCTGTCTTTTCCTCTGCGCGCGCGCCGACGCGCACTCTCCCGTTCCCGCGTGTTGTCTCGACCCCCTTTTGCTCAATGACCTCGTCCCAGGCTTGTGTTCATGACGTACAACGGCTGGGTCATGATTGCCGTGTCGCTGGGCGCCTTCTTCGGATATCTGGTGTTTGGGCAGACGACTTCGGCGACAAAGGACAATGCGTGTCACTAGGAGCATGCGCTCGGCGATTGCCGCCACTTGTCGGTCACCTGCAGGACCCGGTTGGGCGGACTCGTTCGCATGTTCGTAAATTCATATGCAATACAGCGCCAGCGTGTCAAAGCCGTGCGACGGCATTCTAATCCAACCGTGTCACGTAAGGGTCAGAAGAGGACCTCGTCTCGCTCCGTGATATGTACAGCCATTTCTCATAAGCCCGTGGCACGGCATTCACATCTTGGCCGCACCGTTGCCGTCATTGGCAGCGGCCTTGTCCTGTTCCATAATCTCTTTGAAGACACCTTCTGATTCAGCCCGCTGGATAATGTCGTAGTCGCCAAAGGTGTCGTTGTGCTCGATCTCGGGCTCCTCCCCGTAGGCTATCCGGGCGGCGTCGACAAGCAGCCGGCCCGTCATGCCCCAGACCTTGAAGCGCCCTTCAAACTCCTGCTCCTCGCCCAGCTTCTCGGCCAAGTTGCCCTGTGCGCTGTCGCGACGGCTCGGCTTGGACACGCGTTGGTTGTTGACGGGCACGTAAAAGTTGTGCACGCGCCATGGCATGTCCTTCCATGCGACCCACGAGCCCTCGTACCACTGCCCTGGCGGTAGAGCGGCAGCGCCGGCTCGCGGCGGGAGGTCATCGGCCTTGAGAAAGTTGTAGAAGGGAGCGCTGAAGACGGCGGCGACCTCGCGGGCATCGAGGCGGGGTATCATGGACTCCTCGACGAGTGGACTGGGCGCCTCGGGCGTCGACGTGCGGTCGGCGTGGAGGAAGGCGACGCAGGGCGTGACGACGAGGTGGGTGCGGGCCAGGGAGGGCGGGAGCGTACACAGAGGTTCGATTCTAAAGGGGCGAGGGATGCGTGCGTCGTCCATGGGTAGACCAATCTCCTCATATGCCTCTCTCCTCGCGATTTGGTCTGCACGCATCGTCAGCCACAACGAACCCGGAGAACAAGGTCAAAGGCCCGAGGAAGCAGGATTACTTACACGGCGTCTCGTCCTTGTGGTCGGCCTTGCCACCAGGCAGCGCAGCATGTCCCGAGAAGCTCCGGAGACTGGCAGCACGCATCGTGATGACGACGCGAAGGTCGCCCCAGCGGTCCGCATAGAGCAGGACGAGCACGGCGGCGCGCCGGCGGGCGGGCAGGGCGTCCCACAGCGGGAAAGCGGGCGGCTTGTAGGCGCGCAGGCGGTTGATGGCGGCCTGGGAGAGAGCGTGAGCGAGGGCCATGACGCAGGGATACATGGCCGGCGGCGGTGGGCGCAGCGCGCCAGCCTGCGCGCGGGCGGGCGCGCGTTTCTCAGAGAGGGGAGGGTTGGGCAGCGACGGCGGGAGGGAGCGGAAGCGAGACACTTCATGGAGAAACAAGTAAAGGGGGGACAGGCATGTCGAAGAGACGGCCAGGGACAGACGGGGACGAGGCAATGGGACGCCGCGAGAGCATCACGACGGTGTCGGGGGCATGGGGTGTCCAAGACAGGGAGGGAGGGGAAGCGGAAGACATGACATACCACGGAGAAGGGGTTCAGCGACGCCATCGTGGACGCTTCATAGTAGAGCGACTCCTGCGACGCTTCTCCGCCTTTTGCTTGTGCGTCGGCGTCGGCGTCGGCGCCTGCGTCTAGGTCTAGCTCGTGGACGAGCTGCCGGTCGCGCTGCTGGTCCTGGTCGTAGTGGTGGTGGTGGCTGTGGTGGTGGTGGTGCTTCTGCTGCTGCTGCGGTTGCTCCTGGTGGATTTGCTGCTGCTCGACGTGGGGACCCCAGACGTGCGTCACAGCCGTGCCAGCAGAAGCCGCCGACGCCGCCGCACCAGCCGAGGCCCGGCGCGCAGCCTCCCGGAGATCGGCGACGTCACCCTCCGAAATGCCCACGTCCGCGTGGCGCGCGACGCCGGCCTCTCGCCCGGACTCCTCCTGCTGCTGCTGCTGCTCCTGCTCCTCGTCCTCCCCCTCGTCGATGATGACGAGTGTGGTTGCAGCGCTGCTGCTCGCCGGATCTGCAGCCCCGTTGATGCCGCCGCTGCTGCCGCCGTCGATTGCGGACGACGGTGCCGTCGACATTTTTTTTTCTCTTTCGGAGTGGGGGGATTACTTGCCTCCGAGCCTTATTGCATCAGCCCTTGAACAGATGCCAAATTGCAAGGCTGCGAGAAAGGATGCAAAGAGCAAAAGCCGCGGGAGGCGCCAGGCTCGGACGAATGGCGGCGGCGGCACTTGTCCCAGTCGCTAACAATTATCGCGGCAGGCAGCCCGCTGCGACGCTTGCCCGCCAGCGCCCGACGTATGCCCGTGTTAGTGATCAATGCCTCTGGCCCGCGGCCCGTTTAGGGCCCCCGCGTTTCCTCAATCCCGACTCCGATCCCCCACACAGGACCTGCCCGGCCAGTCGCCTGGTGTGGCGTCGGTTCGAGATGCTCCCACGTACAAGTACGAAGTACGCGCGCAGCGTTGAGACAAGAGACGACAGCTCTCCTGTCACTCAAGCACGTGTCAGATGAAATCAAAAGATGATGTACCGGTATGGTTACATCGTTAAATTCGTCGTCTCCCTTTGCGCGACTCTCTTGTAAGTGCGTCTAAACACATGAAAGACCAGCATCAGTATAGCAGCGGTCTCATATAGCCAAAGCCAAGGCACAAGCCAAACGCCCATCCCGAGCAGACATGTGCGTGTCCTCCCGCGCTCCAACGCCAAAGGCAAACCTCTCAGCGCCTGATTGTGTACCAAACGCCACGCCCTTGATTACCCTTGATCGCATGGCTCTTGCCCGTCTCCATTTCTCAACTCCCAAATCATGCTGCGGCCGCACGAATGTGTCGTTTAAGTTCCTCTCGTCGCCTCTCCTCCTTACTCATCTGCAGTTTATCTTTGGCGTGATGCAAAAGACCTCGCATATGCTCACCAGTTGACGCCCGTGACCCAGCCGCCACGAGGGCATGGTGCCTCTTGACGCCGTGCGCATACGGCCTCTCCGAGGAAACAGGCTCTTCAGTCACTAGCCCTAGCCACCCTTTGATGCCGTGTCCAATGCCCCCGTCTGAGTCGTCTGAGTCGCTGTCAAAGGCGCTTACGGGCATCTGTTTCGAGCCCGCGCGGTCCACCGGTGAGGCTGCCAGGATCTTCGGCGTCCTGTGCGAATTGTGCCTCGTGACCAAAGGTGCTATCGACCGGTCCCCAGCCTGCAGAGTATTGCGTCGAGATACAAGCTTTCCCGCGGCAAAGTTCACTTTGAGGGATGATCTCTTTTGCTTCGGGGTCGGCCCTGAGAGGTAACTGTCTGCGCTGTACTGCCGCCGGTGATGCGTGGCCAACTGTGTCGCAAACTGGTGATATTCCCCCGCTGCCATCACGTCGCTGAATTGACCGTACCCCAGGTCCCAGGGGCGTGTCATTTCCTCTTTGTCCCACGGCGACGTGGCAGAGCCGTATTTTCCCAGGCTGGAGTCGCTTCCGTCGCGTGTGGCTGGTTTCGAGATGAATAGCGGTGCTGGCATGATGCCTGGCGGCGGCGACACCGGCTCCCAGGAGCTGCCCCTGCTGGTATCCCCGCCAATGTCTTCCTCGAGTGGCGGCAGGACGTTGTAATCCGATTCCCATCTCATACTGTTACCGCTCGATGCGTCTGAATCGGCGAAGCAAGGCGCGACCGGACTCTCCGCCATGAAATCGATGTCGTAGCCCGTGAGTTGCTGGATCTTTCGTGACGACCGGCGGCGGCTGAGAATAGACTTGGTCGAGATGCTGGGGCACCGGGGTCGAAGGGCTGACCGGGCAGGAATCGGAGGTGGTGTACTCGGCTCAGTATCCACGATGCTCGTCGGAGGACGCGAGAGTTGTTCCAGCAACTCAGCCGTAGTGAGCGATATCCTTGACGAAGACGTCCCCGTTCGTCTTGGGTGCGACGTCGGCGGTGGTAGTGGCGGTAGTGGCTTGTTGGCATATTCAGTGACGTGTGAAGGGATCGAGGGTTCGCAGCTTCTTCCGATCGCCAGGAACGCAGCGGGAGGCGGCCGCTGTGGCCGACCCATCATGCCGTTGTCGATGTCGCTATTGATGTCGTGAACGGCGTGCGTACTGAAGGCAACGTGGTTCTGCGGATATATTGCAAAGCGCGAGCGCGCTCAGTATCTCGACTGGGTCACCCGCTGCCAGCCCACACCACCAACAATAGCCCCGCAAACAATTGTCACGAGTAGAGGAGGCACAACAACCCGTTTCAGGTTTAAAAGAGGATCTCGAGTCACTTTAAAGTGCTTTGTGCCAAGAACAAGGACGACTTTGATAATGGATGGCGCGTGATGGGGGAGGGACGGGGAGGATAAAGACACCTCTCGGCTGCGTGTTTGCGACAAAGGCTGCTCCGAACTGTAGTCGGCGACGACGAAAGCAATCACGAGTCGCTGCGCGGCGGCTGAGAGATGAAGGAGCAGCAAAGTACTGTATGGGACAGGATGCTACGGGAGAAGAAGGTATCGAGTCTTTGGGGTTGCCGGTCGCTTGCGTCCCTGCTGACTTAGACGGCCGGCTGCTTGCAGGCCTGGAGACACGACACACCAGTCAATCCTATATCTCCACATAGGTCGTCCCTTGGCCAGGCCGGGAAAGCGAGTTGACGGAGACGTCCCGTCTGGGCAGGTTGCAACGTGAGACCTCGCTGACCGCCCGTACGACACCAGGCGGGAGTGAGACACGGTAGGGCATTCCACGGGGATCGACGGCCACCATGTCCCTGTGCGCCGTGCGACGGATTCCTGGGGCACGCAAGTGGACGGTAGCGCCACCAACCCATCCCCACCGCATCCGTCTCCTCTCGCGCGACCGGGCGACGTAGGATTGGGGGCCGGCCGGCCAGCTCGGCGCATCTTCGCCATGCGGCTGACCTAAGGCCGCCAACGCTTGTCTTGCTGCCTGGCAAAGACATGTCTTCTTTCCGACACTGATCGAGGACGAAATGCTGCGAAAGGCGACCTGGGCTGGCCATGGTGCTCACCGGTGTTTCTCGCGGGATTTGGGCGGCACATCTCGGGCGCCATCACATCATCTCACGCAGGCGTGGTCTGCGTTTGTTGGGTTGTTGGACTCGGATCCGGGGCCAGAGGGTGAGCCTGCCGATGAGAAGCGGAGAGCAAGTCCTTGGCCACCCACCAGGCGCGGGCCTCTCGGTGGTGGGTGACGGACCATTGACGCGAGGCCAATATTCTCTTCCCGTCAGCCATCTGACTTGTCTCCCACCGATTCGGATCGCAGCAATCCACGCATGACGACAACTCTCCGGGGTACTCCCGCGGGCGGACGGCGCGCGGAATCGTACCAACCCAGCACAACCCCATCCCTCGCACACTAAACGCCACGTGCTCGGCCTCGGTCGGTCTTGTTCGCGGGTCGCCGGTCTAATCGTCGTCGTCGTCCTTTCCCTGAAAATTGCCCAAGAGGATGTCGTCGACCCCGAGGCCCGTCGACGAGTTCCGGAGCCATTCCGTTTCCACGCGGAAAAATATCCAGATCCAGCGCCGAAACACCTCGAGAAACTCTATAAGGAAGATGCCGCTTTCAAAGTCGCTGAACCGGTCGAGGTGCGGGCTCAGCTTCATCGACCAGCTGCACCGCAGCATCAAGTCCATGCCGATTACCACGTAGTAGATGGTCGCGGATCGGAAGACGAGCCTGTCGCGCAGACCCCACGGGTGATGCGGCGAGGTGCGCGCTCGCCGCGTGGAAAAGAGGGTCAGGTCCCAATCCTTTGCAACGTCCCAGTAGAAGGAGTAGAGGGAGTTGGCCAGGACCGCGACCAGCCACGCCCTGTTGTAGGCGGCCTTGGCAGCGTCGCCCTGTGCGTTCCGTTGCAACGAGCTCGTGATGAGGACCGGGAACGCCGTAGAGTATTTGAGTGCATTGGCCAAGTGTTGCCCTCCCCAGCCAACGGATTCCTTGTATGGCGCGCGTCGCACGCGCAAGTATTCGATCATGCATTGCCGGAACCGAATCGCGCTTGGCACCGCCATGAGGAGCGGCACGATCACAGTGCCTCCACAATTGCGATCAGGTCGTTCCGTAGACGACCCTCCGCTACTGAAAAACATGCATACGGTGACAAATAAGTCGCCGCACACCTTGGCGTACGATGTCAACACGTCGGCAAGCAAGATGTCCCCAAACTTGCCGTCTTGCGCTTCAGCTATGCCGCCAATGCTCACCCGGCGTAGAGTCGCGAGGAATCGGTGTCGCCCGCCGCTTGGAAGGTGCCTGAGGGGCACGACGAAGATGGCCACGACGGCGACAAGGTATGTCATCGGTATCCAGTCGTAGGCGACAACGCGCGCCGGCACGCTCCACGTGACGAGCCAGAAGAGGAGGATGGAGACGCCGAAGAGGACCGACAGCACTGTGGCGAGCCGGTACGTCGAGTGGTGGTGCGGGACATGATGCGGCGAGGTGCGTCCGGGATATCGTATCAGCGCTGGCACGTCGATCTTGTGCAGGTAGAGCCCGTGAAGGTTGAGGCCCCAACCCCAGACAGCTACAGCAACCAGAAGTTAGCCCAGGAACACCATGGACGGCGCAGCAGACTGACCGAGCGTCACGATGAAGCCCACGCGGTACGGCAAAGGAAACACCCGGCTGAACGGGTCGAGCTGCGGCTCGACAGCAGGGTCACCGTCCATTGTCGCTGCGACGAGTCGTCATCGATTGGTAGGGAAGGCGAGAAAGAGTGCGCCGGGCACGTGTGAGTAGATCACAGACAAAGGGATCGAAAGGAGCGACGCGGGTTGACGGCGCCTGGTCGAAGCAAAGGGAGCACGTAGGTTGCCAGACAGACAATACGAGGACGGGAATGTGGAAGGTCGATAGCTTGCTTTCGCATGGCCGCGTGCCGTTTCCAGACTTTTTTTCAGGGGCAAGAGCTCCCTTGGCTCCCTACGCGTGCTACGTCAACCCCACCAGCCGCTCCACCATCAGGCTGCTGTTCCCGTCATCGTCAGCGAGTCACAGCCCGCGGCAATCTCGCAGCGCTCTGCGCCAAGGCTAGGTGCACGTATCGGCCAACATCCTACGCAGTTTCGAGATGAATTCTCCTTGTTTCTAGATACTCAGCGTGTAAGAGATGCATGCTTGAGGCCTGCGACAAGTCGGCGACTCGCGATGCAGGCGCACGCACGCAGTACTGACTGGTACGTCACCAGAACCCAGTGCTTGCAATTACAATATCCCTGCAGACTTGCTAACGGTATTCGTAGTCTCAGCGACCTTTTCAACTCAAAATAAAGTACGAAATCCAGCCAGGCGCAAAATGCTCTTCGCCATGGAAGTTCACGGCCAGCAGAGATCACTGCGCTGCCGAGTATTCCATGCGCCTGTCGGCTCCTAGCGCTAGCGCTGGGCGTTGCCGTTGCCGGCCAGCGGGCAGCCACATGGGCCCCTCCGACCCCAGCTTTCGTCCCGAGGCCCAGCTCCTCTCCGGCCTCCGGCCCCGTCGCAGCCGAACCTCACTTCCTCATCATCAACCACCACCTCGACACATCGCACCGCACCGCACGAATACAACGGCCGCTCTGACTGCTCGCCGAACCCGACGCACAACAGTCCACCCATCTGCAGGCCTTCTCGCGATCCATCCGGCGCGACTGCGCGCATTCTCCTCGCGCCCTTGCCCCCCGGGCTCCGCGGCTCGGCCCCAGACACATACACACCTACACAATGGCGTCCTCGTCCTCACAATCACAGCCGCGACCATCCTCAACCGCGTCGCCGTATCCCTTCGCCTCAGCGCCCGACATTGTCCGCGCCCATCAAAAGGACGCGTACTTCACGGGCCACCTCGCCAATACCCTCACCGACCTCCACCGCCGCCTGCTCGGTGCGCGGTCCGCCCACGCCCTCGCCCCGGAGCTGCGCTCCCTCGCCGCCCTCCTCTACTTCGCCCTCACCACCCTCCCCGGCAACCGCACTCTGGGCGAGGAATACTGCGACTTGGTGCAGGTGGAGTCGCCGACGGGCCGACTCCCGGCCCTGCGCACCCGCGCTGCGTACATAGCAGGCACGATTGTCCTGCCCTACCTTGTCAGCCGCGCGCTGCCGGGCCTGCGCACGCGGCTACGGAAACTCATCGAGCGGCGACTGGGCTCGCTCCAGCGCAAGGGCAAGGAGGACAGCAAGGAGGCACGTGTGTGGGAGTACATTGCGCGCCACCTGTCGAGCATCACGTCGGCCGCACCCGTCCAGGCCGTCACTCTCGCCCTCTTCTACTTCAACGGCACCTACTATGAGCTCACCAAGCGCCTTCTCTCCCTCCGCTATGTCTTTACTCGCACAGTCCCCGACACCCCCGATCGCGCCGGCTACGAGGTTCTCGGCGTCCTGCTCATCGTTCAGCTCGCCGTGCAGACGTACCTCCACGTCCGCTCTACTCTCTCCTCCGCCAGTGTCCCCGCGCGCGAGCGCGCAGCTTTCCAGTCCGGCACTGTCGACGTCTCCCTCGACCACACAAACTCCTACTCGGCCAACAGCGACCTGCTCCTGACCGAGCTCGGCAGCCGGGGCCCCCAGGCGAGCAGGGTCGACCTCGCCGCTACGACGCACACCCCGGTGGCCACCGCCCCAAGATACAACCTGGCCGACGGCGACAAGGTCATGGGGTACATCAAGGGCTCGCAGCAGCGCAAGTGCACCCTCTGCCTCGAGGAGCTCAAGGACCCCTCCGCCACGCAGTGTGGCCACGTTTTCTGCTGGGAGTGTATTGGCGACTGGGTCAGGGAGAAGCCCGAGTGCCCGCTGTGTCGCCGAGAAGCCATGGTGCAGCACATCCTCCCGCTGCGCGTCATGTAATGAGTGCGTCATGTATGATATCAGGAAGCCCTGCGGGCGGCTGTCCACGTGGTGTAACCAACGCAGTGACGTAAATGTCACAATAGAATTGTCATTGTCTCGAGGCAACAGGCAAGGCAAACTCTTGGCTTCAGGTCTCGAGAACGTGGCCCAATGGACGGCGACGACTAAAAAATTTTCATTCGATGCAGATGCTATGCCTATCCGTGGTATCATTGCCCCTCCCAATCATTACCGCCTTGCTCGCTCGCTCTGCTATGCCTCTCCAATCATAAATCCACGAGCCTCGCGCGTGGTCGCCTCGCCCACTGCATGCAGAGTCAGCAGCCACGTAGGGCTTCCTCACGCCCCAACATCGTACATCGTCCTCACCCCTCCGTGCCGTGAGTCCAGCTCAGAGCTTCTGCCATGTAGTTATACAACGAGGAAGCTCCACAAGACCCGTCTATTCCAGCCCACCGTCGGCAAAGAAGAAAGTAAAGACATTGTCGAAGCAGATAGCGAGATGCCTTGCACAGACCGTAGATTTGCCCGAAACACCGTAAAACTCCTGTAATATCCCTGACGTTCCGATGGCCCCGATGAATTGTTGGTGGTCGTAGCAAAGACCGTTTGAATTACCCATGTTTTTCGTTTGTGCCTGATGGCATCGGCTCCTATTCCGAGATCGAAAACAGCACAATTTCGCCTCGCTCGTTCCGTCGAAGTCGCAAGTCCTTCCAGAGCTCCTTCTCTTCCTTGCTTTTGCCGGCGCCTGTGCCCGATGCCTGGCGCTCGCGGTGATAGCGCTTGAGCGCCTTGTTGACGCTGCAGCCGCGCTCGCTCTCTGGGCCTTTGTTGACGAAGCTGAGGAAGGCATCGGCGCGCGGCTTGAATACAACCATTTGGCCGTCTGGGTTGTCGGACTTGCCGTCCTTGGACTGCGGTCGAAACTCAATGAGCTTGGGTTCCTTGCGCTCCTTGTGACCATGAGACTTCTTCTTCGAGGTCGACTTCTTCTTGTGGCTCTTGGACTTGGAGCCGCCGGTAATCATATCGAAGAGACTGTTGCCGACGTGGGTGCTCTTGGCGTGCTTGGAATGCTTCGTCTTCTTGAGTGGGCTTGCTGGCGAATTGTCGGCGACGTCTCCGCCAGAGTAGTCGGGAGAGGGGGGCAGCGTCGGACGCATGAGCGTCTTGAGGCCGCCTGTCAAGCCGGAGTGCAGGACGGGAGGGGCGTCGGTCATGACCTGGTCGCCGGGGACTTCGACGTGCAGCCGCTTGCGCTTCTTGTCCTTCTTGACCTCGCTGTCCTTGGTCTTTCGTCGCTCACTCTTGGAAGCAGGGGTGACGAATGCACCTGAGGGGACCGGCCCGGTGCCGTATTGAACAAGGGGTTCGTTGTCGGCGTCCATCAACGAGGTAGGGTCGAGATATTCCTCCGCGTTGTACTCGTATCGCACAAGCGAGGTGCTGTCGCCAACGTCAGGACCCATCTGGTCCCTCGGAAGGTTCATGTTGGAGGCATTTGGCGTCTGGCCGGTCGCGACCAAAAAGTCGAAGACGTTGACGTGTTCTTCGGTTGCCGCGGCGGGAGGGGTGGGAGCCTCTGGCGGCGGCTCAGCGGGAGATCGCTCGTCTTCTGTGTGTCCCGCGGAGTCGTTCCACGGCTCGTACTCCCGATCTTCCCCGACATCTTCGACATATGGCTGCTGAGCCATGTTCTTGGGCCGTTCGATTTGCTTCTGCTCGGCTGGCTTGTCGTGATGGTGTTTCTGCTTCTTGTTCTTCTCTTTATACAAGGCGCCCTGGTACTTTTGGTCTTCGGTTATGCACGACTGGCTTCTTGTAAGCGAAAGAGGGCTCGAGTCAGGGCCGACGACGATGATACTCACAGTGTGAGAGCGATATTGGACGCCTTGAAAGTGAACCATGCAATCGATGCAGGTAAACGAGGCCCCGTGGCAGCGGCTTCGGTGAGGGTCAAGCTTCTTCTTGGTCAAGACGTCGCCGCACGCCTGTGTTGTCGCGTTAGGAGACTGACGATGAACGATATGCTGCAGCAGAAGAGAGTAGACGTCCAATGGGCGGCGGGGTGGAGTGTGCTTGGTATTTGAGGTAGTCGAAGCAGCAGGTCTTCATACAAGGGGGGCAGGCAGGATGATGAGAGACAGGGCGAGTGGGCCAGGGGATCAGCGGACAAGAAAAGGGCAGTCTATCAACAGGGTATTTGGCTGTTCGAGAGGGGCGGCGAGAGCGCCGGGAGTGATGTCAAAGGTAGTGGTGGGTGGTGTTGCTGGTGTGGGTGGGATACCTGGGTACCTTATGGCCGGGAGTGAAGGGGTGTAGGGAATGAAGCAGGGCCAAGGCATGGAGGAATGGGGGGCAGGGTGACCCGGGGATACTTGGGTGGGCTTTGGGAGGGAAAGGGAGCGACATTACCTCACAGGAAAAGGAGACCATCTTGACGGTGGCACCCGTGGCGTGGCCTTGGTGATTGGGTGTCGAGTTGGGCAGAACTCGGGTGCTGAGTGGCCGCGGTATTTGACGGAGAGGTCTGTGAGTCTTCTGGGGCTTATTTGCAGCAGCGGCGGCAGCAGTAGCAGCAGCAGGAGAGCAGCACAGCAGAGGCAGCGGCTGAATGGACGGCGACGAAGCGCGCAAAAGCGGCGACGATGGGGACCGTTGCGACTTGGATGGGGGCGGCCGTCAACTGCGTTTGGCGATGCGTCCGTCCGGGGAATAGTAGAGCAACGGCGTTGCAGCAGAGTTCCAGATGGAGGTCGAGCTTCCTGAAGTGGCCGAGCCAGGGGGCCAGACAAGGGGAGGAATCGAGGTTATGGGGGCCGAGCAGTAAGGGGTTCCGTTTTGGAGGAATGCGTCTCAGGCGCGGCGTAAACGTCCGGGTGGAATGGGGGGGCGGGCGCAAAGAGTCAAGGAATGGGGGGGTCCAGTCCCTCTGCAGGAGGAAAAAAAACTCCCACACGCCAGCGGCGAGTCGAGGCAACGAGGCAGCGCGGGGCCGACGGGAGGTCCAACGGCGACAGCAAATGGTGCTCGCCGGTCCAAGATGCGACGAGTGTTGAGCAGGGTCCGACGACGGAGCGGCGGCCGCGAGTCCTTTTAGGTGGTCGTGTTGTTGACAGCGCAACGAGCGCGATACCGTGTTGCCGTGTGATATGGATGTTTTTCTGTGCGACGCTGTCTGTGGATGTCGAGAAGAAAGAAAACCTGCAAAGGCTAGCCAGCGCTGGGGGAGATGGAAAAGTGGGGGGTGGGCGCCGGTTCCTAGATGTTATTCTCGGCGCTGGGGCGACCATTGAAGGGGAACAAAGGGCATGGTCTACTATTTGCACAGTGAACACCATTAATCACTGGTGTATCTCCACAGCCAAGCCCTCCACCCAATGCTGGAAACAGTCCAAACAGGAGACTGATACAGTTCTTTTATGAATGCGGAGCCTGTCAGAAACGGCTTCCAGACTCCAACAAATGACTGGATGTGCTTGGGCAGTCGCGCATCCAATCCAATCTCCATTGGACTCGCCGCCAGCGCAGCACCACAGCCTCACAAACATCAGCGCCAGCCAAATGCCCTGCCCTGCCTCGCCCACTCCCATGAGGTGGTACCCAACGCCTTTCCCTCGGCTGCCCATGGGCGCGCCGCACCCACGCGCCGCGCCCGCGCCCCCGAACAGTGTTGATGCCACCGGTTGGCGCGCGCCGGACGTTGATACAGGACCGCCGCACCTCAGGTAGCTCTGCGTACCGGTGTCTGCGGCCACGCCCCCCCCTCCGTCCATCCCTCGGCCCCTCCGCCTGCCGCAGCCCCCCGGAGCTGCTTTACGCCAGACGGACGCGCCCTGGCAACCACGCAAAACGCGAGAGACGGGATCCTCAAACCTGCGGTGCCCAGCGAGGCGCCATGATTGGCTTGTGACCGTACCTGATCATGTGAGGCCGGCCACCAAGTGCCGCCGATGCTCTTTGGCGCCCGGCGAACCCAGGACGTCCGAAGGGAAGGGTGGTGTGCTCCCTCTGCGGCGCGCATGTGCGAGCTTGTGTGTGTGCGCCTGTCGCCTTCCAGCGACGCGAATGCTGCGCCGAGCTGACGCTTCGGATGCCAGGATTACCTGGTGATGGTAAAATTAGGCCTGCATGCTTGCTTTTTCTGGGCACCGTCTCGGCGTCCGCCCATGGGCCAGGCGAAGCTCTCTGACACGCCACATTAGCACAAGGCAGGCGATTTATCGGGCATCGCGCCGACCACAGTCCGTTGTGGCTGCGAATCACGTACGGCGAGGAGCGTTACGGCCGTGTCGCGAGCTCTGCGGTGGCTGCGGGCGTCCGCCATCGGGCCCGGGCTGGTGGGCTGGGATGCAAGAGGACATGACACACTCGGTCCGTCGTCCAGCCATGCTTCCGCCGCCCAATGAATACATTTGACATTGATGAGGCCAACAGTTCTAAACGTTGCCGTCACGATCGGAATACCATACGTAGTCCATATGCACTCGCGCCATCCGCAGTCTCCTAGGGCGGCAAATGCCCACGCATTTCCTCGCCCTGCCAACTGCTGCAGGGGCAGCCCAATGCCTGCTGCGATGGTGACGCGCGTTTACGCACTTGCATGAGGGCTCGCTCGTGTCTCCAATCTCCAGGCCGCAACCACCTGACGATCTGTCACGTCCCCTTTTTTGGTTCACCTTTCAACCGGAAGGGCCAACGCGGGAGGAAAGCTTGTGGCAGCCAAACGAAACGCCTGACGCCGTAGCGCCCACCCTCCACGAGCTGTGATGAGGGTGTGTTGCGACGATCTTGGGACGGGATGCTTACCCTTTCGCTATGGAAACTCTCAACAGAGCAATACAAAGTTCCGTGTACGAGGCTTTGGCTGGACTAGAATGAGACATTAGGCCCGTGTTCGCATCTTGTCCGTTTTGTCTCTGTCAAGGACTTGCGCGGATATTCCATCCCAGAGCCCGTGTAGGTACTTTGCAGACAGAGACCTGGGAGCCTCGACAGCCCCTCATCTCTCCCCCAAGAGCATGGGTTGCGGGAGAAGCCATGTTTCAGCGACGTCCCATGGGCACGACGGCTTGTTTGCGACACATCCCGCGGGAGACAAATATTGCCCGCTGCCCACGAGGAATGGTACAGTTGCTCCCAGGCCTAGGCTTGCACTTTGCACAGCGGCATGAGCGGGTAGGCGAGGTATGGTCTCAGGCCGCATCGCCAAGTGTGCGCGTCGCCCGCCTCCGACCTACCCTTTGAGGTCTGGAGGTGTCTCGCATGAGCATTGAGGTCCGAGCCTTGAATCGTGACTCGTGTGCAATGATCCAGGTACCATGACCATGCAGCTGGTACACGGGCAGCGGACCGTTTAGCGGTTCAAGGATCCTCCTGCCCAAAATCTGGGGCCGAGCCACGTATGGTGTCTCCAAGGTCCGACCCGCGCACCGGGCGAGGCTTGGCCCGTCACTCTCGCCAGGCAAGAGGACTGAAGTAATGTACTATACATTTAGTCATGCTCCCGAGGCCCAAGCACATCTCGACCGTGAGGTCGCAATGCCCATGGGGCCAGTGCTGACACGCGTACGTACCTGCGCTCGTCGATACGCCACAGGGGCAGCTCTGCTGTGTGAGGCCGGTTGGTTAGGCGAGACCACCCTTGGTGGTTGCTTTTGCGCAAGTTGCCCATCGTGCTAGGACGCCAAAGTGTGGCAGGCCGAGGTTCCCTGAAAGCATGCCGAGCGGGCTTTGAATGCACGATTTCACTGTGATAAGAGAAGTGCCATGCTCACGGCATGGTACGATTGTGTGCCATTGAAGAGAGTCTATCTCGGTTCAGCGTCCGGGTGGAAATAAATGAAGCCGCACTCCTCATATTTGTAGATGCCGCGGAGGCACTGCCACGACAAGGAACGAATGAGAGGCTATCTGGTGCAAAAGAAAGATTCTTGCTTGATTCAAGACCTGACTCTCAGTCTGTCAGGCAGACATCTACGGGTATTGCACGCTTTGGGCTCATCAGGCGCTAATGTTGTGGGGAGGATAGATACGTCGAAGTCACATCGTCGCTTGCATGGCTAACCATGATGCCTGCCCTGCCTGTCGAGCCTCTTGTTCCGGCCGCACATATCGCAGTCTGTCATGCCTCGGCTGCCGCGAGGCTGGGATGTGCTTGATACCCCTGTTCGGGCGCAGCGGTGGTGCTGCTACTTAGGACGGTGAACTTTGACATACAATGGCATTGCGTGCCTTTGGGTTGAGGTGTGTGGTACCATCGTACCTTTTCGGTGCCCGGTTCCAGATGAGATGCTGCAGCTTCGCCAGAAGCTTGAAAGCCCCATCTCAGGATGGAAGGCGACGGGGAAACACAAGAGGCCTCGGAGCGTTTGATTCACCCCGTTCCATCTCATCACAGTGATAGCGGGGGCTTGCGGAGACGCTGACTGGTGGCAGGAGGGCCGTGGGCCGAGCTTGCCCTAGGATTCCCACCCAGGTGGCTCGGCTCCACCACCCGAAAAAGCCAGCGCTGCTTGTGCTTGTGCTGTCCAAGCTGTCGTCCGACCGCCTTCTCCGCGGCCAAACAACCTACCCCCTTGTTGTGCCTCGACGTGCTGCCTGGCACGCGCATTGCGCTCCCTTCGTTTTACCACCTGTGCCCTGACCATCCAGATCGCACGGCTCCTCTCCTACGCTACGGGACCTCGCTACGCTCCAGCATCGCCAGCCATGGGCCACCGGTGACTGCTTCGCCATCTCGCGCGCGCGTCTTGTTCGGCACCAGCCACGTAACCAGCGCGGCAAGCCAACAAACGGCCACGGGACAACGACCGGGATCCTCGTGCCAGCGATCCGCCCCGGCTTCTCCTCCGGCGTTCCGCATCGGTCAACGACCCGTCAACCGCGCAGCGTTTGTCTGACCTTGGGTGCAGCCGCCGCCTCGCCACTTCGGCGAGCGCTCCTGCTTGCGCTCTGCTGTGCTGCACTGCACTGCGCTGCGCTGGTCCTGTTCCACCCCGCGGCCCCTGGTGGCCTGACGAAAGGACAGCAGGGCGTTCGAGCGGGCCCTTCGAGCCGCACGGATAGGTCTTCCCTGCGTGCTGGTACTATTGTGCCGTGCAAGACAGAGACCAAAAGGAGCAAACGGTCCCTGGCCGACCGAGGGTCCAGTCGTTCTAGCCATGTCCAACTCCAACGCTCCTCCATCGTCTACCCTCGCCGGCTACTTGGAGCAGACCGCCTCCGTCTTGAGCTCCGCTGCCTCCTATATGCGTCTCCCAGCGCTGGCGTCGACGGTGAGTTTCCTCTCCACGCCACACCGCGCCATCAATGTTCCATCGAATGGAGGCTGACCATGTGCATGGCAGGGCATTGCCGCCGCCCTCACTTCCCTGCTCTACTTTAAACAAAAGTACGCCACCCCTCACCACTCCCCCCGGCCCCGAGCCTGCTTTTCTCTTGCTTTGTCGTCATATCTCGTGGTCCTTGCCACCCTTTCGTCGACGCAGGTCCCATGTGACCTATGTCCCGCAGCGAGGTCAGGGAGCTAACGTTGCTGCGAACAGGGCCCTGATCTACCCTTCGCACATGCCACCCAACTCCCGGACCGAACTTCCGCGCCCGTCACAATTTGGTATCCGAGACTTTGAGGAACTGGTCATTCCCACCGACGATGGCGAGAAGCTTTCCGCTTTCTACATCCGCGGCCCGCGCGGCAACAAAAACTCAAACATTACTGTGCTCATGTTCCATGGCAACGCCGGGAACATCGGGCACAGACTTCCCATCGCCCGCATGATCATCAACTTCATTGGTTGCAACGTGTTCATGCTCGAATATCGAGGGTACGGCACTTCTACGGGGGAACCCGACGAAGCCGGCCTTACTATCGATGCACAAACCGGCCTGAATTATTTGCGACAGCGCGCAGAGACCCGCGACCACAAGCTTGTCATCTACGGCCAGAGCCTTGGTGGTGCTGTCAGCATCAAGCTTGTGGCCAAGAACCAGGACGCTGGCGACATTGCTGGGCTGATACTCGAGAACACCTTCCTGTCCATGCGCAAGCTCATCCCGTCCGTCATCCCGCCTGCCAAGTACCTCACCCTGTTGTGCCACCAGGTCTGGCCCAGCGAGTCGATACTGCCGAGCATCAAGAGCGTGCCGGTACTATTCCTCAGCGGGTTGCAGGATGAGATCGTCCCGTATGTGTGCCCCCCTGCCCCCTGCTCTTGCTTTTGGATCTCGTGATGAACAATACCACACCCACAAAATATGAGCCTTTACGGTTCTGATTTGAACACCATCTCTCAAGTCTGACGAAGATCCCGATCTGATGCCTTTCTGTGCCCAACGCGTCAAAGTTTGGACGGTTCGCTGACGACGATGAACTAGACCGAGTCACATGCGCCAACTTTACGAGCTCTGTAAAGCGCCAAGCAAGACCTGGAGACCCCTGCCTGGCGGCGACCACAACTCAAGCGTGCTGGAAGAAGGTTACTTTGAAGCGATGGCCCAGTTTGTTGCCGAAGTTACCAGCGGATCGGACGCCGAGAAGGTGCGGCTATAGATTAGACAGGAACCATCGTCAGGCGAGACGATGGTCCGGCGTTCAGCTGCAGCAAGCGGAAGCATGATGTTCTGCCCTCATGATTGATAGATACCCACTCCGTAATGACGATATATATTGATACGTACGAGCGAGCTCGTTGGTCTGCGAGGCCACAGACGAAGCCACAAAGTCTGACAGATGCGAAGCGATGCTCGGGCAGAGCGCGGCCCCCACGGGCAGCCCACCAGTTCAAAGTGAGACAAATGCTTCGCAACCTTGCACAAAGGGCGACATCGCAAGCGGGGAGCAACTCTCGAGATGGTCCATGTGACGGCGCCGGAGCTCATGGAGGGTGGGGTCGCGTGATGGACTGGTGGGCGGTGATGTCAAACCGCCGCCCTCGCCCGGATAGCGGGGTTTGTGTGGCCCCCCGGACGTTGGGGGCAGTACGACGGCGACGTCCTTTTCGCTCCGGGGTGTGGGCTGCTGCACCACGTTGAGCCGGTAGAGACGCCCATACTGACGAGGGAACGGGTTCTCGAAGCGGCTGCAGTCCCGGGTAGCGGGGTGGTGGTTTGGGGGAAGCGGTAGATGAGAAGTGCCTTTGGCGACTCGTCCATATGCCTACCTACCTAGCACCCTTGGACTACCTAGGTACCTACCTATGCTCACGCGGTACTGCGATGCAAGGACTTTGGCAAACAAAGGCGAGAAATAAACACCACCATTCCAGACCTGACCAGCCTGGATGGACGCGTTCTGCGGAACCAGGTCCTCGCGGACAGGGGACATCTCTGTAGTAGAAAGTACCAACATTAGTCTCAATATGAGAGCTATGCGTCGAGAACCTAGTATTTCTTTAATTCAATGCAATGCCATAACAAAGCTCCACGATATGCACAGTCCGCCATAACATCTGGCGGTCCTTAAACATGCTGAATCTCGCGTTTGCAACTCCCCGGCGAGGCGCTCGCTTGCCAATCACCCGTTCCTCACGAGATATCAATCCCATCATACCCCATGTCAGCTCAGCACTCGACATCTCCACCAAGCGCAGCCCACGGCTTGTCCATCTCCTTGTCGACCTTCTTCTTCTTGAGCCCCAGCAGCTTACGGCCACCCCTAGTCGGTGGCTCCTCCGTGGGCGTGGCAGTCCCTGACCGAGACGCGGCCCGTCCTGCTACCGCACTCCACCCCAGGGCGTCCTTCTTGCTGAGGTCTTCGCGCCGTCCTATATGATCGTTTGCGTCAATGTGGCATAGCAAGATATTGCCAGCCAGGTCCACATGCTCCACGGTCTTGGCCAGACGGGGCTTCAACGCCGTCAGGGCCTGTTCCATCCCGGCAGGAGATAAGAACGCTGAATAATTTGAGGTTGCCCGGAGGAGGATCTCCTCTGTCGGCAAGAAGCTGATTGCAAAGTGGACCGAGGGCTGTGTAGAAAAATCGGCCGCAAAAGCCTGGTTTATATCCTCAATTGTGAGGCCAAACCGTGGCGACGTTAATAAGAAGCCGTTGAACGGCTCGCTCGCCGCTAGCATGGGCGGGCTCGGGGGCCGAGCAGCGGCAGCGGCTGCTGCTGCCTCCGCCGCCTGTGTCTCCCGAATCTTGACGCATTGTCCAAGCGTCTTGCTCGGCGCAGATACGAAACGAGGACCTTTGAAGACGACGATATACCGATATGGCTCCAAGTCCTCACTCCGACTCTCCAGGCCGTAGTCTTCGGCTAGTAGATGGAGGAACTGACGATATGTAGCCGACATTGGCTTGTACCTCATCCTTACCTCATCAGGGCTCTTGGAAAAGACACGGAACTCGCGTTCCTGCGCCTCAGCCCAGGAGAGGTTTTCCTTGAACAGCTTCAAGGTAGCGTCCGAATAAGGTATGTGGTCGTTGGTGTGAGAAGAGGGGTCGATGTTGAGGGCGGCTGCGAGACGTCGGTTACGCTCCAACCGGAGGCATTCATTATCGCATTTGATTTCTGGCCTTGTGGGAGTTGGGTTCGAGCTGCTGGCAAGACATTTGACTTCCTGCTGCCGCCCACCACAAGGGCAGCTAACTACCGCTTTCGCACTGCAGGCCGCGGTCTCATTGCAGGCTAATAAACAGTTAGTAGCTGGATTTCAAATAGCCGGGTGTTGTTACTCACGGGTTTGTCCATGGCAAGTATTTTGGCAGGTGTGTTCACAAAATAGCTTGGTCTTGCCACAGACCTGCTCGCAATGAGTCCCAGTCAAGCTAGCATCTTCGCATTCTCCTGCACGATGGCAAAGCTTGCGGCAAGTATGTAATCTGGAACCGCCTGTTAGTAACATAGCCAAAAAAGATTCGCCTGGTTGCAACGTACCCGCACTTGAGCTTCTTCCCGCAGGGGCGGCCGCAGTGGGCTTCTTGAAGATGGCAAGGCTGGCTGTGGAGCTTCTCCTTCCCACAAGCACACCATTTGTCGACCAAAAATGGGCACTTCGGGCAGCTGATGTCGTCTGGGTGGCAGTGATGGTCAACAGCAGGGTGGCCGCAGCCGGGACGCCTCTGGCAGTTGAACCGACATTCTGGTGGCCTTGTGCCGCAAGGCTGAGGAGGCTGCAGGACAGTGCGGCCACAGTTGCAACTGATCTCATGAAATACCGCCTCGGGACAGCTCCCGCAAGGACCCCGGTGACAGATCTGCTGACAATCATGGCTGCCGCACTTCAGGGGCCTGCCGCAAGTCTTGATGCAGATATGCTCCGGCTCGATGGAGTTGACGTCTGCGGCCGCCCTATTCTTCCGCCGCGCTGCTTGTCTCTCTGTGGCCTTTCTCTCACCCGCACAGCAGTGCTCGCCGCACTTGTGACGGCCACAGCTGAGGTTTGCTTGGCAGGTCCTCATGCACAAGGGATGCTGTAGGTCTCCCTGGTGGCACATCGATTTCGTTGTCGTCCTTCCGCATCGGCAGGAAATATCGATTGTCTCATCGCAAAAGCCGCAGTCCCCTACATGGCACTTTGCTTTACACAAGTGTCCACACGGAAGAAGCTTCTCGCACGGTCTGTCGCAATGAGGGACATCATCTTCGCAGGACTGTCGAGGTGAGTCCAAGAGTTCCTCAAGCGGGGTCTTGCCGCAGGGACAGTGAGTAACAGTGTCTGGCGAATATGGACAATGCGATGGCAGCTCTTCTTGCGTGTGACACGTCTCGTTGCATGTGTGTATGCCGCAGTCGAAGGGCCGCTTGCATAGCTGATCGCACTTGAAGGACCCCTCAAACCACGTGCCCTTGGTCGTATCGTAGGATTGTTGAAGCTCGTCCCTTTCGTAGCAAGGAATCACCTTGTCTACACGGCCGCAGTAGCATCTCGCCTCGACTTTGACGTCACACTCGCCGCACAAGCCGGAGTGACAGGGCCGTGAGCAGAGATGCTCGCCGCACGGGAGCAAGTCTTCGCATGTCTCCTGACAGCTCCAACCATTTTCATAATCCGTCTCCCGACATAGCTTCTGGGAAGCGTTCTTGCCGCAGAAACACGACTGGTTTGGTCCCACCAAACCACAGGGGGGACAGGGTCCGGCGTGGCATTGGAGAGAGCAGGGATGAGGACAGGTTGCCCGGGGTTTCGAGCAGGTTTGTCCACATGAATGAGGGGGCAAAGCTGCGCTGGTTGGTGATGGATTGATTTCCTTGCCGCACCAACAATGGTAAGAGCCGGGGTCGTCGACGAGTTTGGAATTGCATCCGGGGCATCGCCACAAAAACTCTCGCTGTGGCTCCGACGACTGTAGGTCATCCTGCTTCTTCTGATTGCCATACCATCTCTTGGCGCATTTGAGATGGACAACGGTCCAACAGACTGTGCAGGACCACACGTGCGATGTCCTCAAGACATCGTCCGTGCAGATGGCGCATTCGTAGTTCCAATTGCTAATATCGTCATGTATCCTTGTTCCAAGGTCAGCAGCAGTGGACTTTGGCTGCTTCACATGTGGCTCCTGAGAGACTGGAGCTTTCGGGCGTTTACTGGGAAAGAGTCAGCGTTTGAAATTCCACAGCTGGAAACATCCTTACGTTCTAGTGGCAAGAGGCTGTCCTGGGACGAACTCTGGGGCATCGCCGCTTAAGGTCCGGGCTGAAGGCGTAGCATCGTCTGTTCCCGTGGTTAAATGTCCCCCAAATGCTCTGTGAGCTGGAGGTTGTGCGGCCCCGCGGCCAGAAGCGCCACGGCCTCCGCCTCTTTGGCCGCGGCCTCTCCGAGCCCTTTGCTCCCCCGATGCTCTAGATGGTTCATTCGAGGTCCTTGGGGCTGAAGGTGTGGGTGAGCTGGCTTGAGAGGCGACATCGTCACCGGGGGCATTGCTGCCCCCTCTATGGGAGCCATCTACTGGACCACGAGCTCTGCCGCCGCGAGCTCTGCGACGGCCATGATGCCCTCTTCTGCCTGGATCTTGGGACTGAGTCCGTACTTGCGGGGTGTCTGCGTCGGGCATAACCTGCGATGCCGAGGCCTGGGGCGACGTGGTTGGACCAGCCACGCTGACGATGTGTTGGTTACGAGGCGCTTGACGCAGCGGGTTGCGGTGGCCAGGGTCCGTGAGCCTGGCGAAAGTACGTGGACTGGAGATGATGAGCCCGCGGCGCGAAAATGAAGAGGTTCGGAACGCTTGGTGAGAAACCAAAAGTGCACCAGGTGACGTTTTTGAAGCCTTTTTGATATTGGATGTCACCTACTGCCGGCGAAACTTCGAGTCGAGCCCCAGTCTGGGGCGTTCCTCCCTGGCGTGGGTCCCCAGTGTGGCAAAGCAGCAAAACGCCTTGCTCCACGCTGACAAAGGCCTGAACCAACCCATCAGAATGAGTCACTGCCAGCGGACAGGCCGCCAGAGCATCAATTGACCAATGGTCGGTGGTCGCTGCGCTGAACCATCTGCAGTGATGCTCGCAAAAAAGAGTCATACAACACGCGAACCTTCCCTTTTCTGCGTTTTGGTCTGAAACGGACTTTGGAATTCGCAACAACGGCCTCCCGGCAAAGCCCCGCGGCGGCTGATCCCAATCCGACGCTGTCATCATTCATTTGAACGAATTCTGCTTGCTCGACCAACCCGAGGCCCGTTTGTCCAACTCCGCCGCGGTTGCTGCCCAAACATCGGCATCCTCGAGGACGCCAGGCAAGTCTAGTATGGTGTTTCTCTCAGGCCTTGAACACGTCGTGGTGAATATATAGTAGAAAAAAATGCTGCCGTTTCCCGAATTACTTTGCCGACTGCCTTGTCAAGAGTTACCAGGGCAGGCCTCCAAGATTATGTACACTCTGTGCAACCTGGTGCCTCATACTCTCAAATGTGCAAAGCAATGCCGGACCGCATGGTAGTTCTTTGCTTGCCACGTCTTGGACCCTACATCGCAATGCCTGTGGTTTTCGCAGCTAAATTCCTCGAGGCCACAATTGTCTGTCCAGCGTCTCATGCAAGCTGGGTTTGGGCTGCCCACGCCAAGTGCATCTGGGCTACCCTATACCACAACTCCGACGACAAAGTCGACGCAGCCCAGAAGCACTGCCCATGACAATTTAGTAGGCCATTAGCTCAACTCTTGCTTCGGTATCCTTCGTACGGCAACGTGATGGTTAATGACTGTTGGCTTTCGCAAACAGCTGCCGGTCGTGCACTTCGTCAATTCAACTCAAAGCCTACGTGCATCACAGACTGATTCACAAGAGCACAGAGTGTCCTAAGGGAATAACCGCCACAGGTTTCGTACATGATGCTCAATAGATACTGTTCACCATCGCCATGTGACATTCTCAGGGTGCGAATGAGCGTTGTCAGATGTTGAGGTTCGCTCGTGATATTTACCAGGAGGATGTTAGAAGTGGAGCGTCGCACTCAATGCCTCGGTTTGGCAGCAATTGCCAAACAGAACATTATGCGCGTACACCACGACAGACAGGCCGAGTTGTCAGATCTTGGCGCGACAACACATGGTGTGTCTGTTTGCTGAAGTTGACATGCGAGGATCATGGTCAGAAAATGTATGCACTGGATGCATCTACATTGCTTTGCAAACGTAACTCATTGCCTAGGCTGCTTGCATTGACTGGCGACAACGGCAAAAGCCACAGAAACTTGGTCACTCTGGTACGACTGCCCGACATATCGGATGTTCGGCATCCCAGCCCAACATCTGGAGCACCATCCCTCAAATGAGATGTGCTGCGATTGCTGCAGGCCATCGGGGAACTACAGATGCAACCAGACAATGGATGTGTGGCGAGGCATGGGGGCTCATGTTGACTCTGGACCACCAAGGCGTGGTGATGGTCATGACAGCCCTACGCCCTTGAAAAATGCAACGACGGCTCGGAGAAGGCCCGGGCATGGACTGATGGGCAAGGCAAGCGCCAGCTTCGGGCGTGATGCGAGTGGCCCCATGGGCAGGGTTGCTGGTCAGCCGCACGCCGCCTCTGCATGCAGCTGAGGCGATGGCTCGCCATGGCAGTCTCGCGCTGACGGCCCGGGTCTCCCTATCGGCCGACAAAGGTGAAGACCGTGAACGGTCCGGGCGCTGTGTTTTGCAGTATCTCAAGCTAATTCTCGGCGCGTCGACCCGGTTGGAGGGCGGGCGGCTTCGCGCCGTGGATACGAGATGCAAGACCAAGGCGCCATGCAACCCCCCTGGAATCAAAACCGGAACAGTTCGCGGGCAATGCTCTCCGTTTCTTTTTGCAAGCACCATGATTTCGACTGACTCGAGCGAGAGAGGGGGAGGAGGAACGCCAAGGCACTCGCGTTGTGGTGACTTGTCGATTCCTTCTTTGCGCCGGCACGCCACGCAGGTTTGGTCCAAGCAGAGTGGTGCTGCGTCGCATCGCAAGGGGTAAGCCTGCCCCTCTCAAGATGCACAGTCGACTGATCGAGAAGCGGTCGCGGGATGCGAGCCCAGGGAAGCCATCGTGACGGGCAATGCAGACGTGAAAGGCGGAGGAGGCGCGTCCGCCCGGACTCCTTCCTCGGGAGAGTTGTCGAGCCCCTTACAAGTACGTACCCGCCGATCGCTGCAGGTGCGATTTTTCGAACAAACGTTCCGGCCCTCAACTCTCAGAGCGCAGTCATCGGGACCTGGATTTTTTTTTTCAGCCCCAGTCCGGGAGTCCAGGAGTCCAGGGCCGTCGCCGCCCACACCTTGCTACAAGGGGCATCATGGTTGAGGTCGTCCTGCAAGTGAGCCTTCCCCGCAGCGGACCAATTGACCACCCAGGTTGCCAGGAACCGTGACAAGAAGCAAATGGAGACTCGGCGGCCGGCCAAGCGGATCCGCCGCAAGCCGACTGGGGCCCCGGCTCGATCCGCGTTGGACCAGAGCGAGATGGCCAGCTGCGCGCAATCCCCAGGGCGTCGGGCTGTCTGCCTCCTGAACCCTCACATCCCTTTCCGAGGCAACGGACAGCAATGATCACGTCTCCCGGCGCGACCTATCTGTCGCAACAACAGACAAAAAATAATGGCTTGTCGTCACGCGGGTTTGGCAGTTGACAAGGTCTCATGGAGCTTGTCTTGAGCCTATCTCGACAATGACCAGGGGTCACCCACCACTCCGTGGCTTTATCGTCTTGGTGTGCCGGTGACGCTTCCTGTTCGCCCATCGCGACCCGGGGGGTCTGCCGACACACGATACTGACAGCCACAACGGTGAGAATTGATGGCTTCCAGAGGCGCGTCTTCTCGCGCCGTCGGCCCAGCGACTAATTGCGTAGCCGCCACAATCAGCCTCACTCCCCAATCAGCCGGCCTTAGCCCAGATCTCGGCGTTGAGACGCGCCATCATTACAGTACTTTCCTGGTCGTGGGAGGCGTCGTCAAGAGATGTTGACGATTCGCGTCAACCTGAGACCCCGTTTACCCCGGCAATTTGCGCCGAGCGGCAACCACGGGGCAGTGTAGCGTCGGACGGATGCTCTCCGAATGTCAAATGCTCACCGAGGGCCGCGGCAGCCCTTCAACATATGCGTCTTCCCCGTTCGGCCATGGCATGGCATGATCTGGGACTTCTGCGCGTTGATCAGATTTGGATGATCGAGAAGACCCGAAGGCCGGTGAGAAGGACGGCCATGCCGCTGCCGTGACGGGGCCTCGACAAGTCTGACAGAATTTGTTCCTGGGTGCGCCCAAAGGCATCTCGTATTCCGGGAGCCGCCAGCGATGCAGGTAGTCGCATTTGCATTAGCACGCCGTCGCCGCCGGCGCCAGGTTCCACTTTCTTCTGGCACAACCCGGACCAAAGCCCGACCCCTGACAGCCATCACCACCTCGCCTATCACGGCCTCTTTCAAATGGCACCTTGCTGCGTCGAGCTGTGCCACCCGTCCAGAAGACCCTTGTCACATGGGATGGGGGTCTCGACTTTGAGCTGAGCACCCAACGGTGATGGCTGTTGTGGTCCTCCTCGAGCATCCGCTGGCGCCTCAGTCCTCGATCCCCTTTGCTTACCGCTGTTGGTATAGCTCCTTCCCGCTCACACACAAGGTGCCCATGTCGACAACGTGCGATTGTGCCCCTGCCCGCTCGGTTATGCAGGCAACTTGCCAGCGCACGAGCTTCCCTCCCCTCCACCTCCATCATGGGGGTTCTCCCGGAGGGTCATGGGGCTGATGTCTGGGGTCTGGATGAATGGTACGCCAAGCCTCGAGGCTACGGCTCGCCACGCCGTCGACGATGGCCCAGCCCAGCATGACGGGACTCGGCTCACAGTCGGCGGCCCCGTCCCGCAGGCAATATATGGAAATGATGCCCTCGATGCCGTCACGAATCCTTCGGTCTTGCTTCTCATCTCCAGCCTGGAGCCTCACATTCGCTCATAGTCACCCCTATTTTCGTGGTTCGCGGTCTTGTTGCGCCTCTGGTGCTCCAATCCGTGATCATGGCGCCCTCCAAGGCTTCTTCATTCTTGTCGCTCGTTTTCCTTTCGTGCCTGGCCCCTGGCCATGCTGCTGTTCCACAGAAACGCGCGTTGACACCTCCAGCCGGGTTTGACAATGGCTGGAACTACCAGGGTTGTTATGTGTACTAATACCCAATGCTATGTCTGCGATACGTGTGCAAGGATGCTGATGGGAAGAACAGAGACGTCGGCCGTACGATCAACAGCGCCGCTACGGCGGATGCCGCCATGACCAACGCCAAGTGCGTGCAGTTTTGTTACGGAAAGGGCTTTCCGTATGCGGGAACTGAGTATAATACCGAGTGCTACTGCGGCGACACACTGGCGACAGGCGGCGTCAAGGTCGCGGAAAGTGACTGCAGCACACCATGTGGCGGAGACGCGACGCAGCCCTGCGGCGGACCAAGCCGTCTCACCCTGTATTTCACTACCGCCATCCAAGGGCCGGTGGTGAACCCTGGGGTTGATGGATGGGCTTCGATCGGCTGCTATTCGTGAGTCTGCGTTACGAAGCTTAGCGAGAGTACCTTGCGACTGACTAGGACGTACAGTGAGGGCACGACAGGCCGTACACTCACGCAGGGAATTGGAACCATCCCCAATGCCCAGATGACGGTAGCCAAGTGCACGGCAGCTTGCAAGGCTGCCTCTTACACTTTTGCGGGCGTTGAATATGCTGGCGAGTGCTGTAAGTTGTAGCCTATCTACGAAAGGCGGCAGCGGAAACTAACGCGAGATGCCGATAGACTGCGGCAACAAAATCTCCAATGGAGGTCAGCCCGCAGCCAGCGGCTGCAACATGCCCTGCAATGGCAACAGCTCGGAGTACTGCGGCGGTCCGGGCCGCTTGAACGTCTATCAGATCCCCACGAGGTGAGTTTATGCGGGTACCTGAGAGTTATTGCCCGAAACAGATTCGAGATCGGTGGAACCGCTGCTGAAACAACGATGAACAGCACCCCTACGGGCGGTACCGGGACAGCCACGCCGACGCCAACTCCGTCCAACTGTCCCGGCCAGCCGGCGACGGTTGGCAGTTGGACATCGTACGGCTGCTACACGGAGGCTACTAATATGCGGGCTCTCTCAGCCAAGACCACGGCGAGCGACGACATGACGCTTGAGACGTGCGCCACCTTCTGCGCCGGCTACTCGTATTTCGGCGTGGAGTACTCCCGTGAATGCTACTGCGGCAACAAACTCAATGCGGGTGCCACGCAGCGCCCGGGCTCAGAGTGCAGCATGATCTGCTCGGGTTCCAGCTGCGAGTACTGTGGGGCAGGCAACCGCTTGTCCGTCTACACCCTGGGGGGTGGTGTCGATCCCAGCAACACGACTCCTGGTGTTCCTTCTTCCACCGCGACAGGGGGTCCCCAGCCGACTGGCCTCCCGGAGGGTTGGCAGTCATATGGCTGCTGGGTTGACGGGGTCAACGGCCGTATTCTTAACTACCAGGCCCCCGATAACCCAGACCTGACTGTCCCGTCCTGCGCAAAGACTTGTGCTGACCAGGGCTACACCATCGCGGGTGCGGAGTATCACACGCAGTGCTTCTGCGGCAAGCAGATCGTCAACGGCGGCGTCAAGGCTACCTCTGATACCGAGTGCAACACTCCCTGTGGCGGTGACAGCACGCAGAACTGCGGCGGACCAGGCAGGATGAGCATCATTTCGAAGGGCCCGCCCCAGGTCCTTCAACCTCCGGCTCCTATCCCCAACGTCGGTAGCTGGACGTACAAGGGCTGCTATGAGGACAATGTCAACCAAAAGCGCACCTTCTTCTGGCAAAACTTCTTCCAGGACAACATGACACCCCAGGCCTGCCTCGACCTCTGTGGCAACTTTGGATACATGGCTGCGGGCATGGAGTACGGCAAGGAGTGCTACTGCGGTGACCCGGCTAACATCCAGACCGCCGGTGCCGCCAAGGTTGATGAGAAGGAGTGCGGCGTGCCCTGCTCTGGCAACGCATCGGCTATCTGCGGTGGCGGAAGCCGTCTCACTACCTACTTCTGGGAGGGCGACCCATTTTACCAGTGGTCGTTCCCGGAGAAGGGCACAGCGGAAGCCGGGTCGTACGACTTCCTCATCGGCGGCGTCTGCATCCCCCTCATGACATCGCAAGCCGTCAACGGAAAGGTTACCTTCCTGGAGAAATGGGGTACTGGCCCGCCAAACTCGACCGGCGCCTACGAGCTAGACCTCTCGCTGCTCAACGATTTCACCGCCGCCTGGCGTCCCATGCATGTCAAGACGGACATCTTTTGCGCGGGCGGCGTGACCCTGCCCGACAAGGCTGGCCGGCAGCTCACCGTCGGCGGGTGGTCAGGCGATTCGACTTATGGTGTCCGGCTGTACACTCCAGATGGCTCTCCTGGTGTCCCAGGCAAAAACGACTGGCAGGAGAACGTCAACGTGCTCAAGCTCCAAGATGGTCGATGGTATCCGTCCACGATGAACATGGCCAACGGCTCCATTCTTGTTATTGGCGGCGAGGAAGGCTCCAACGGCGCTCCCGTGCCCACGCTGGAAATCCTGCCTTCGACCGGCACGAAGCCATTGTACATGGACTGGCTCCAGAGGACCGACCCGAACAACCTGTACCCCTTTGTCTGTGTTCTCCCATCAGGCGGCATCTTCGTTGCTTACTGGAACGAGGCTCGCATCCTGGACGAGAACACCTTTGCAACGATCAAGACATTGCCGAACATTCCTGGCGCCGTCAATGACCCCAAGGGCGGTCGCACGTACCCTCTTGAGGGCACTGCCGTCTTGTTACCCCAGCATGCTCCGTACAGTGACCCTCTTGGAGTTCTAATCTGCGGTGGCTCGACAGAAGGCCCGGCTAACGCACTCGACAACTGCGTCAGCATTTACCCGGATTCCGCGAACCCCAAGTGGACATTGGAGCGTATGCCCTCACAACGTGTCATGTCATGCATAGCACCTCTACCCGATGGCACCTACATCATCCTCAATGGTGCCCAGCATGGTGTCGCGGGCTTTGGCCTTGGCTCCAACCCCAACCTCAACGCCCTGCACTACGACCCGACAAAACCCATCGGGCAACGCATCACCATCATGGCCAACACCACGGTGGCTCGCCTCTACCACTCCGAGGCCATCACCCTCCTCGACGGCCGCGTTCTGGTGTCTGGCTCCGACCCCCAGGATGGCGTGAACCCTCAGGAATACCGAGTCGAGACGTTTACGCCCCCTTACTTGCTCAGGAACAAGCCTCGCCCGACTTTCAAGGTGTCCAACACTGACTGGTCGTACGGCCAGAAGGTGACGTTCACGTTGGGTGCCGCTGCTCGCAACGGCGCCATCACTGCATCGTTGCTCGGCTCCGTCTCGAGCACTCACGGAAACTCGATGGGTGCGCGAACGCTCTTCCCGGATATGTCGTGTACCGGTACGGCCTGCACGGTGACGGCACCACCGGGCAAGTACATTGCTCCTCCCGGCTGGTACCAATTCTTCGTCCTGGACGGAGGCATTCCTGCCGTCGGCGTCTTTGTCCGAATCGGTGGTGACCCAGCACAAGTAGGCAACTGGCCCAAGGGTGACGGCTTCACCACTCCAGGCGTCTGAGGCGACTTGATTATAATGAAAAGCTGCGATACGTCGGCGTGTGTAGGAACGAAAGGCCGGGACGTAACGATTGAACGGAAGGCTGCCAACAGGATGGAGAAGTGTATAGGTCATACCTAGATGGACTGCGCTCGTCACTCATCCTACACTTCTCGACTACACAGTCGAACGGCATTTGATTTAGTAAATAATTCATAATCTTCATGGCAACATACTTCAATTGAACAGGTTTCTTGGACCAAGAGCCACAGGCCCTAGACGCGGTGACACAAGACACTCACACATATCTACCTGCGACGCTACCTGACGGTACCTGTAGCATGCACTTGGCAGTGCTACATAGACTCCCTCTTCACGAGTCGTGAACGTTCGCTGCTTGAGCCAGTTCTAGTTGTACTGGAAGACAAGGATTCCCTTGCATCTCTCGCACGAGCATGCTTCACAATCCCTAATCCTTTGACTCCCCACCACGTACCGCGTCCATCAATCAGAGCACTCCCGCTGGGCTACATAGCCAAACTCCAGACCGACCTCGCCAGACGACACGTCCAAGAACTGTCCAATACTGCGCGTCGGACTCTGAACCTCGCCAGATGATCAATTGCATCGTCACAGAGCCTTTCACATGCTTATTGAACGACGCCTGCTACAGGCTGCGGGTTGCCTCTTTCGACTTGCTGCTGGGCCTTTGCTGGATCCTCACAATCTAACACGACTCGGCCAATGGCACGGTCGAAGACTTGGCCGCGGAAGTCGCGCCTCGACATTTCGGGAGTCGTTTGTGTAGCTCTCGCAGCGGTGCTGATGATGGCGTTGATCTTCTTGGTTGTGTGGTGACTCGATGTGGTCCATCGAGGTGCCTTATGCTGTTGCTCTACACGCAGACCAGGAGATCGACAATGTCATTATTGCGGTCATCCTCGTCCTCCTATTTACATCATAAAATTCGTCTCCGCCATTCACGTCTTCGATGGAGGTGAAGGGATCTTTGCGGTAGTCGTTGGTGCACTACGGCCAGTGAGGTGTGTCGCCGTAGTGAATCTCCCCGTGATCAATTACATGGAACTCCAGTCCCAGGAGGAACAACTCTTCTTGTTGTTTTATATATAAAAACGATATCACGTTTTCTCAATTTCGGTAAGTTTTACGAACATCGACATACGCTTGTCATAATGTCAATACTTAATTCCGTAGCAGGCACATTGAAGCGTTGGAACGGGCCTCATCATGGCGATGACCATCTGACTGTACGTGAAATGCGTTATGTCAAGTATATCATATATACTTTCCGATGCGAAGTAGGTCGAATAGCTCCAAATATATCGATATATCGAATTGGCTGAGGAGACTATAGTAGGCCTCTTCTGGACTCCTCGACCTGGAGTCTGGAAGGACGGTATTGCAGAAACGGAGCTTTGACGCGCCCCACTGCCCGACAAACAATACGGGCTGTCGCCGGTCGGCCGGCTCCGCACCTACCTGTCGGGGCGTCAATGGTCCTGGAAACACTGAATGCCAGAGTCCAATCGTAGCCCTAATTGATTGTTACAAGCAATCAATTCGTGTTACGTTTCCCTGAAATGTAAGCTGCATCCACGAGTCTCTGCGTCACAAAGCGGAGAAATGAGACGGGGTGTTGCGCGCCAACAAAGGTGTTGGACGTTGAGAGCACGTGACGTCCCGTCTGGTTTCGTTGGTGTACCCGCCAAATTTCGGCGCATCGCCCGTCACTCAAGATCCAGCGCTGGAGTTTGACACTGTTAACCCCGACCTCGACGTCGACCTCGCCCTCGCCCCTCCGCAGAACCAGGTATCTACCTACCGAGGACTCGGCAGCTCTCAAGATGGCGGCATTCATCAAGGCGGTCAACGCGAAGATCAGGGCAAACCCCATGCTCGACTATGTCTGCTCGACTCGTAAGTCCAGCCCCTTGGCCCCTTGCATCTCGCACCAATCAACCATCAAGCCGGCTTCAGCTCGCCGGCGACATCGGCATAGATGGCGTCGCGTGCGGTGAAGAGGCAGAGCTGCTGCAGGTGCTGCTCGCGCGCGTTCGCGACGGCAATTGTCGCTCGAATGGCTGCGCTGGAGAGCGGTTCTCCCCCAGGACGACTCTGCCCCGAAAATCGGAGCTTACGGGATGGCCGCGTACGAAGGCATGATGCTGACTTTTCGATGCCGCAGACTTCTGGGGACCCGTGTCGAACTTTGGCATCCCCGTTGCGGCTGTTCTGGACACGCAAAAGAGCCCTGATCTGTGAGTCCTCCCCCCCGGCCGATCCGGCATGCATCGCTTGAGCTGGCACGTCGCTGACGCACTTCGTTCGCAGCATCTCTGGCCAGATGACGGGTGCCCTCTGCATCTACTCGGCTACGTTCATGCGCTACTCCCTCGCCGTGACGCCCAAGAACTACCTCCTCTTCGCCTGCCACTTCGTCAACGAGTGCGCGCAGCTCACGCAAGGATACCGATACCTGTCGTACCACAACTGGGGTGGAAAGGAAAAGGCGGAGCTGGAGAAGGGCCTCGTGGCGGCCAAGGACACGGCAGCCAAGGTCGAGAACCGAGCCAAGGATGCTCTCAGCAAATAAGCAGCGGAGACGTTACCAGGAGGTTGAAAAGGGGAAGCGACTGGACTGCCGATGACATAGGGCAGTCCCGAGAGCCCGGTCGTCTAGTGGGAGGTCTCAATGTCGGATCAGGGGAGCCGTGCCTGAGCTGTTGCTGGGCCGGACGACCAGTGTGGTCGATTCCTGCGAGCTGTGCATGGAGGCCGGCTTCGCCATGGGTTTAGGCCCGCGATTGTATCATCACCTTCATCCTTATTACTACCTGTACACCTCACCATCATGGCCCTGGTCGGGGCGGTGCAGACGTTGAGGGGGGTGGCCATACTGTGCGGGAAGAATATAGATTCGTGCATGATTCGCGCCCTTGGTTTCCTTCGCTCTGTTGACGAAGCGTGTAGAGGTACTCGCTACTTTGTCAACGGGAATAATCGCGCGCATGCCCCGTCATGTCCGTCATGTGGTGCGCAAAACTGCACATATGGAGGAGCCTGCCATGGTTTGCGGCGGCTGGGCGGTGATGGTTGACCTCTTGGAGTTTAGACGCAGCGACCGCCTGGAAGTGCATGACACGCCGGCCCACACACTGTTACCCAACCGAATTGTCGATCTTGCCAACCACAGAGTCAGGACGTGCCTCGCGCGACATGCGGCGGAGACGCTCGTACGTAACGTCCGGGTGCAGCTCAGTAATACGCCATCGTGCCGCCTGGTTGCTTGCTTGCTTGCGTGGTTGCGGCAGGTCGGCTTCCAGAAGGCATGACGACTCTTCTGGGACGCCAAGGTGGCCTGGCTAACCTCGGGTAGATGAGAACCGTTCGGGAACATCATAGACAGTGCCGGCCGGCTTTGGTCAAGGATCTTACTGTGGGTAAGGAGTGGTAAATGTTATGGTGTGGGCATGCGAGTTGCGCTCGCTGGAGCATATGCGCCCGACCTTGGCGCAACGGCTGTCAATTGAGGCGCGCATGTGTGTGACGCGAGGTATAGAGGCTTTACGCCAACATGAAAGGTTGTGGCCATGTGTAGTAGCCGTAGAAGTCGACTACCATATGACAACGTACCCGAATATACATCACTTCCCCGCGTGAAACGATTACCGCTGGCAGATACCGGTGCAAGTTGCTCCAGTTGTCCATCTGGCTCCGTCTATTCGTTCCAGTTATCTGTCCGCCACCCTGCTACGCTCAAACGGTTTAAAGCTTCATTCATGGCATCCTACGTCCTTTGTTTGCTAGACTGAACCCGGTTCAGGGCGGCAGCAGTACCCTTATTGTGCACAAGGCTGGTATAATCTTGGTGGAAATGAGTGAGCCCAGAGGTCAATCAGCGTAGCCTCTTTCGGCTCTCATGATCCAAGGGATTCACGCCTCTACGCACCGATCATCCTGCGCTGTAATCTTATCAGATCATCGGAGTCCGACCATCCCACCCATTCCAACCTCAGGCGTTCCCCAAAATCAGCAAACGCCGAAACTAGTCGTCCTGTTTTGGGTCACACTTTTGAGAGCTCTCATGGTACACAGAGTAATAAGTAAGACAAGCGTGTGCACCGTGTCGACTGGCGATGACCGCGATGACCGCGATGACCGAGAAAGACCGAGAAAGACCGAGCTGGTCAAGTCGACTGAAGCGTACGGTCATAGCAAGCACGTCAAAAGCTACTCAAGATGTCAAGTCGCCACGACCGTTATTGAAGGCCCTCTTGTCCTCAGCATGCCTTGTTCACGGCTGCACCGGTGCACGGGAGGTCACTCCGGGTCGTTTGTAGAGAGCGAGCTAGTTATTCCTGCGAAAGTCTCTTAAGGTGTCAGTCGTTCTCAGAGGAAGAACTCTCTACCAGAAATTGTGTGCATCGGAAATGTCTCTGCGAGAATATCTCAATGAGAAAGTGCCCGACGAAACTTCTCAGGCACGCAGGAAACAGCCAAGGATTTACTCACACGACGCTTCTGGTTCGAATTTATGCGTCACCTGGCGATTGGAATCTGGCGGCCTATCCGTCTGCTGCTCACCCGGCCCATGATCCAGCTGATCGCCCTGGTACTGGGACTCAACTTTGCCATATACACGCTTCTGCTTGGCACTTACGCGACTGTTCATGGACAGGTACAGGCAGACTCAGTCCATCAGCGCACTCCACTACATCACCATCGCCGTCGCGGCGACCATCTCCGCGTAGGTCGGCGGCCGTTTGATGGACCGTCTGTACAAATACCTGAGCCACCGCAGGAACGGCGGCGAGGGGGGTAAGCCGGAGTACCGGGCGCCATACATGATGCCTGGCGTCATCCTGCTCAGCTTCGGCGTCATCCTCTACGGCTGGGCGGCGGAGTACACGCTCCCCTGGCCGGTCGTCGATGCCGGGGCCGCGGTATTCGCGCTGGGAAGCATAATGGTGATATAGATGCTCACTGCGTATCAGCTGGACGAGTTCGTTGGGCACGGTGCGTCTGCCGGGGCGGCCACGCGCATCTTGTCGTACGTGCTGGGGTTCGCATTTCCTGTGTTTGCGCCTCGTCTGTATGAGAAGTTTGGTTACGGCTGGGGCAACACCATGCTGGGTCTGATCTGGGCCGCTCTCTGTATTGCGCTCCCCGTGGTGCTATGGCTCTGGGGTGAGAGGATACGGGCTTGGGGCCGCAGCGCACAAGAGGGGCGCGTTGAAGGAGCTTGAAGTCGAACGAATTTCAGGCATTCCGCATTCATATACTTACTTAATTACAAGTGTTGCACGAAGGACACTGCAAACTGCTTCCGAGGCTGCCATCGAGGAATTGGTCACTCGTTTGACGACGTGGTGCGTGTGAACGCCAAGTACCTAAAGGTAACCACAAGCGACTGGTACTGAAGCCCGACAGGTTGCAATCGCTGTACCCACTTTGATGGCCGCAACGTCAACTTCGAAAAAAAAAAAAAAAAGTTGCGACTTGCGAGTCCCATCATCAGGGACTCGTGGGGGACAGGTGGGCTGCCCACTGCCGTTGCTTCCCAATCCAGGCGTTGCGGATATTGTTCCCGGGGCCACTGTGACGGTTTCTGGGTTAGCACGCTTGCTGGGTGACTCTGGGGAAGAGCCGAGGTCGGAGCTTGGTCCTTATCAGCACACCAGTTCGAATGTCCACTGGAGCCATTCGCCAACGGGCAAGGTACGGCACAGACCCAGCCACTGCGGGCGGGCGGCGGGTGGTGGCCGTCAACCCCGAAATGCGACAGACGAACCGGCCGTTGGCGGCATTCGGCGTGTACCTCAAGGCAGTCGGTGCCTCACGGGAATACCAATCACGTCAACGAAGTCTCTGCACATCACCAGACGCCTCACAGGGCCCGGCCTAGCAAGGCTCTGGCCAGCCAGACGTCATCAGGCCAACCCGTGTGGGGACAAGCGGCAACCTCAAGAGTACTAGCATCTGGGCTGCGCAATGCGTGTGAGGATGGCTTCTCGGAAGTCTCCTGGAGAACATGGGGCTGGGGCGACGGGGCATGGGGAAGTTGCCGTCGGCTATACTGCAAATTCACGAGCAAAAGGGGCTCGAGACCGGAGCATCTCCAAGTCCCGAGCGGCGGGCAAGGCTACGACACGGCCCATCGCAGGAAGCCCCAGATAAGTGGCAGATCGGAACGCCAAAGACGCATCTGGTCGATGCGGCCAGGGACGAACGGCTCACCCCGCAGCGACGACGTGCGCATGTGGGCGCGAGGCGAAAATAGTCAGGGACGAAACGACCATCCAGGGCCTGTGACGAAGACTTGTCGCATCGATTTGTCCCGAAAATAGCTGCCCGCCGGGGACGGCTATCGTCGCGCCTCTCGGCCGTGCCTGTTCCTCGGCAAAGCGCGCGGGTCTCCCTAGCCTGGCATCGGTCGGAAACGGCCACGAGCGCTGCAAGGCTCGTGCCGACAACGAGAAGCCTCGAAGCCGCGGGTGTTTGCGCGCTGTGTAGTCCAGCACAGTAACTCGTGGCCCGTGGCTTCGTCTTCCTCGCCGCGTAGGCACCAAGTACCCAGTACATTGGCTCTGCATGCCCTTGCCCGTGCTGGTCCTCCCCCGGCCGTGCGCGGCGGCGGCGGTGGGGGAGCTGTCGAACGGGTCCGCGACGCAGGCGCCTGGTGTTCCTGGGCACGTACAAAGTAGTACCAGAGGTCGAGGTGGCCTGTGAAACAGGTCAGAGACAAAACACAGTCGCCGAGAGTTTGAAAAGAGGAGAAACGAAGGACAGCGGGGGTCAATCAAACCGAGAACACCGTCGTCGCCCTCACCGTGCTCGGTGAGCAGTTTCTCTGGCACTGGCTCTGGGTCCAGCGCTTGAGTCACATAACTCGTACAATTTGACAGCCAGAAATCGTAACAGGCCTGTTATCCCCGCGCCCTGATTGGCCAATGCCTCCATCAGAACGGCTTCAAGGCCCCAAACGCCCAGCACCAGCGGGCCGTCCCAACGTCATGCGGCGCTCCGACCTCCGGTCTCCTCTATTTCTTACCTTACAGAATTTGTCTCAAGTGAATGCTTCAGGTAGCGCCGAGCAACCAGGCGCTGGCCTGTCTATCCGGTCGGCCGAGCAAGGGGACGACAGGAGGACGGGGGAGCCATGACGAGCGGCGGCCAACGCAGAGAAGGCCGGCAAGGATAACAACCAGTCAGCCAAGGTCCCGTGACGCATCTAGCAGCCGTAGTCTGACCTCGTTGATCTGTTTTGCGAACACCCACCCCCCGCCCGGCGCTCCAAGTCAAGGGCCAATTCCAAGGCCCAGCGAGGTCTCCTTTGCCCGCGGTACCTGGATACCAACTCGCGGGCGCCGTGCTTGCTCGACGTTTGGCGTGTCCCATGGCGGCAAGCCTCCAGGTGGCGGCCCATTAGCGTAGCCGCGATTCCTCGCGCTGGAAGGACGGAGCGGCGAGTGCATTTGTATGTGTCAACGTTGGCATCCCCGTCCTGTGCAATGCTGTACTGTACTGTCGAACTGCACCCCCCGAGCCGGAGCCGCCCAGCGACTAACGGGAAAATCCCCTCAACCGGCGCTCGAACGGTCGCTGGCGTGCCGGCGTGGTGGTGGTGAGTGGATGGGGCTGGATCTGGCCTGGATGGGCTGGCCCAGGAGGGCGGGTGGCACGGAGTCTCGCTGGTGATGGAAGACTCGGCTGTCACCTCGTGGGCCTGGTTATCTCTGGCAGGGCAGGTACCCCCCCAAAGTCCCGCTCTTGCCCTCTGCGCCAGGCTGCGCGCGAGGTCTTTTCTTCCCGACGTCTCCAGCTGGATCCCTCCAGGAAGAACAAAATTCGTTCGCCTCTTGCTCCCTTGCTGACGTCGCCTGGCTGGCCCGCGCCTCGACTACCGCTGCCCAGAGCTTCTGTCTCAGTTCGAGGGTGTGGTCCCGCGCCAGCCTGCGAGCCTCGCTGCCCCGGCCGTCCACTACCACTGTTGGAGCTCTGTGCTGCAGAAGCTCTGACACTTGAATACCGAGCTAATAGCGATACCCCCCACCCCCACCTTCCAGTCCCAGCAACGAGCCACACTCCAGGCCGCCGCCGTACCAGAGACACCCCGCGACCAGCACCTGCGACCGAGACAGACCGACTGCGTCGCAGCACGTCTTTCGTCTCCCCGCCGGCTTTAAAAAGACGACCCTCCCAGAGCTCCGTCACCCCCCCAAGCCGAAGCTCTCGAGCCCTTGACCCTCTCTTCCCGAACCCCCCTCCTCTCCCTCTCCTCTCTTCTGCTTCCACCCTCTTGCTTGTCCTTCTCTTGCTGTTGTCGTCACTGTCTGCCGCTGCCCACAATGTCGGCTCCTCAGCAAGCCCTCACCTTCAACGATGTCTTCGAGGAGGAGGATGTGGACGAGCCCAAGTCGGTGCACCACATCCGCGCCAACTCGAGCATCATGCAGCTCAAGAAGATTCTTGGTGAGTTGCGCCGCTGCTCGCGCCTCGGCGCGCAGTCTCCCGTTCGCCAATTGGGCTGTGCTGTTACTTGCCTGGGCAAGTCGTGGAGCCTTTCGGCTAACCGTTGACCTTCCTCGGCCGCAGTCGCCAATCGTGGTGAAATCCGTAAGTCATGCCCTTCTGAATCCCCTCCCCACGGCGGGCATGGATGACCATGCTAACGTGCAGACAGCCATCCGGGTACGATGGACCCCACCTGTTGGAGCCGACGAAAAGCGATGCCCTGCGATACTGACAGTATAATCTCTGCCGACAAACAGGTCTTCAGAACGGTAGGTGGCCTGCTGCTCAATGGACTTGCGACGCAGTCTGATGCTGACCCGCTGCGTCTCAGGCTCACGAGCTGTCACTGCACACTGTCGCGGTCTTCAGGTACTTAATTGGCCCTCCGAATCCGGAGCCGCTAAGCGTCGCGCCACCAGCTGCTGACCACCGCAAAGCTACGAAGACCGTCTGAGCATGCACAGGCAAAGTATGGAGCCCGCCTTTCTGTTAAGCGTCGCCAATTGCCATGTGCAGCTTTATTGACAAGGAGAAACAGAGGCCGACGAAGCCTACGTCATCGGCAAGCGCGGTCAATATACCCCTGTCGGAGCCTATCTCGCTGGCGACGAGATTATCAAGATTGCCGTCGAGCACGGCGTTCAATTGATCCACCCAGGTCCGTATTCGAGTGCTAAACGACAATTCGTGTCACATACTGACCCCCCCACAAGGATACGGCTTCCTTTCCGAGAATGCTGAGTTCGCCCGCAACGTCGAGAAGGCCGGCCTCATTGTGAGTAGAACAGAACGGCAAGGTCACACCCTGAATCGCTTCACAGAGGCTGACTCGCATACGTCTTTGACTAAAGTTCGTCGGCCCGAGCCCCGATGTCATTGACGCTCTCGGCGACAAGGTATCTGCTCGTAAGTTGGCTATCGCGGCCAACGTCCCGGTCGTCCCCGGCACTGAGGGGGCTGTTGCCACATACGAGGAGGTCAAGACCTTTACGGATACCTATGGCTTCCCCATCATCATCAAGGCCGCTTACGGCGGTGGTGGCCGAGGCATGCGAGTTGTTCGCGAACCCGAGAGTCTGAAGGAGCATTTCGAGCGCGCAACCTCGGAGGCCAAGTCTGCCTTCGGCAACGGCACTGTCTTTGTCGAGCGATTCCTCGACAAGCCCAAGCACATCGAGGTCCAACTGCTTGGCGATAACCACGGAAACATCGTTCACCTGTACGAGCGTGACTGCTCCGTCCAGCGTCGCCACCAGAAGGTTGTCGAGATCGCCCCCGCGAAGGATCTCCCTGCCGAGACTCGCGATGCCATCCTGGCTGATGCCGTCAGGCTGGCCAAGTCAGTCAACTACCGCAATGCTGGCACTGCGGAGTTCCTCGTCGATCAGCAGAACCGCTACTACTTCATCGAAATCAACCCTCGTATCCAGGTCGAGCACACCATCACCGAGGAGATCACCGGCATCGACATCGTCGCCGCTCAGATTCAGATCGCCGCTGGCGCCACGCTGGCTCAGCTGGGACTGACGCAGGACCGCATCTCCACGCGCGGCTTTGCTATTCAATGCCGACTCACCACCGAGGACCCGGCCGAGCAGTTCCGCCCCGACACGGGCAAGATTGAGGTCTACCGCTCTGCCGGTGGCAATGGCGTGCGTCTCGATGGTGGCAATGGCTTTGCCGGCGCTGTGATCACTCGTAAGTTCCCTCTGGTTTCTCCTGCCATTTGCATTTCGCATGGTCGCCAGAAGACTCGGCCATTCGAATGGGTATGGCTGCTTAGAGCATGATGCTGACAGTTGTTATAGCTTTCTACGACTCGCTTTTGACCAAGGTCACTTGCCATGGCTCGACGTACGAAATTGCTCGGCGGAAGGTCCTGCGAGCTCTGATCGAATTCCGCGTTCGTGGCGTCAAGACCAATATCCCGTTCCTTGCCTCCCTCCTGACACACCCCGTCTTCATCGACGGAACTTGCTGGACGACGTTCATCGACGACACTCCTCAGCTCTTCGACCTGGTCGGCAGCCAGAACCGTGCTCAGAAGCTTCTTGCGTACCTGGGTGATGTCGCCGTCAACGGCAGCTCCATCAAGGGACAGATTGGCGAGCCCAAGTTCAAGGGTGAGATCATTCTGCCGGAGCTTGTTGCTGCCGATGGCACCAAGGTCGATGTCAGCGCACCCTGCCAAAAGGGCTGGAGAAACATTCTTGTGGAGCAAGGCCCCAAGGCCTTTGCCAAGGCGGTTCGTGACTACAAGGGCTGCTTGCTCATGGACACTACCTGGCGCGATGCCCATCAGTCTCTCCTAGCTACGCGCGTGCGAACCACCGATCTGCTCAACATTGCCAAGGAGACGAGCCATGCACTCTCCAACCTTTACAGCTTGGAGTGCTGGGGTGGTGCCACCTTCGACGTCGCTTACCGGTTCCTTTACGAGGATCCTTGGGACCGTCTGCGCCGCATGCGAAAGGCTATTCCGAACATCCCGTTCCAGATGCTTCTCCGTGGTGCCAACGGCGTTGCCTACTCTTCTCTTCCCGACAACGCCATTGACCACTTTTGCGAGCAGGCCAAGAAGAATGGCGTGGACATCTTCCGAGTTTTCGACGCTCTGAACGACATCGACCAGCTTGAGGTCGGTATCAAGGCTGTTCACAAGGCTGGTGGTGTGGTCGAGGGCACAGTCTGCTACAGCGGAGACATGCTCAACCCCCAGAAGAAGTACAACCTCGAGTACTACATGGAGCTTGTGGACAAGCTGGTCAAGCTTGATATTCACGTTCTGGGCATCAAGGACATGGCGGGTGTCCTCAAGCCTCACGCGGCCACGCTGCTGATTGGCTCCATCCGCAAGAAGTACCCCGACCTGCCCATCCACGTCCACACCCACGACTCTGCTGGCACTGGTGTGGCGTCTATGGTTGCTTGCGCCAAGGCTGGTGCCGACGCCGTCGACGCTGCCACGGACAGCCTGTCGGGTATGACGTCTCAGCCCAGCATCAATGCCATCCTGGCCTCTCTCGAGGGCAGCGATCTCGACCCCGGCCTGGACCCCAGGCAGGTTCGCGCTCTGGACACGTACTGGTCTCAGCTGCGCCTGCTCTACTCCCCCTTCGAGGCGCACCTTGCCGGCCCCGACCCTGAGGTGTATGAGCATGAGATTCCTGGTGGCCAGCTCACCAACATGATGTTCCAGGCCTCGCAGCTCGGTCTCGGATCGCAGTGGCTGGAGACCAAGAAGGCCTATGAGCACGCCAATGACCTCCTGGGTGACATCGTCAAGGTCACGCCGACTTCCAAGGTTGTTGGCGACCTTGCGCAGTTCATGGTCTCGAACAACCTCTCTGCCGAGGATGTCAAGGCTCGCGCTTCGGAGCTTGACTTCCCTGGGTCGGTGCTGGAGTTCCTGGAGGGCCTCATGGGCCAACCCTACGGCGGCTTCCCCGAGCCTCTGCGGTCCGATGCTCTGCGCGGCCGCCGGAAGCTCGACAAGCGCCCGGGCCTGTTCCTCGAGCCTGTCGACTTTGCCAAGGTCAAGAAGGACCTGGCCAAGAAGTATGGCGGCCCCGTCACCGAGTGTGATATCGCTTCGTACGTCATGTACCCTAAGGTGTTTGAGGACTACAAGAAGTTCGTCCAGCAGTATGGCGACCTGTCTGTCCTGCCTACACGGTATTTCTTGAGCAAGCCCGCCATCGGCGAGGAGTTCAATGTCGAGCTTGAGAAGGGCAAGGTTCTCATCCTGAAGCTCCTTGCTGTCGGCCCGCTCAGCGAGAACACCGGCCAGCGCGAGGTCTTCTTCGAGATGAACGGCGAGGTCCGACAGGTCACTGTCGTCGACAAGATGGCCGCAGTCGAGAACGTGAGCCGGCCCAAGGCCGATCCCGGTGACTCGAGCCAGGTCGGTGCGCCCATGTCAGGTGTGCTGGTCGAGCTTCGCGTGCACGAGGGCTCGGAAGTGAAGAAGGGCGACCCCTTGGCCGTGTTGTCGGCGATGAAGATGGTAAGCTGCACCCCTCTTGAGCCCTCATCGATGTAGTTGCTAATGTCATTCTAGGAAATGGTCATCTCGGCGCCTCATAGCGGCAAGGTGTCAACCCTTCAAGTCAAGGAGGGCGACTCGGTTGACGGCTCCGACCTGGTGTGCAGGATCGTCAAGGCTTGATCTGTTTACTTCGGCGGCAAGAATGATTTTACCTCGTTTGGTTAGGTCTCCACACAGAAAAGTTGCTAGACGCCTACACAGTGTGTTGACTCTCGGCGCGTTGAGGATAGTTAGGCAATTGTTGCGCTCGTGCTTCACCACGGCCCAGGTCTTGTAGGTTTCCCAAGTTAAAAATCGAAACACTTTCAATAGAGATTGCCCTTGCGATTTGCGTTAGGTAGACGTGAGTTTGGTTCAATCCCCCGTACACTTTCTCCCCAGAACATCCGTTGATGTGCTTCTAATTATTTATCCGTGCGATGGCACTGTCCGTCTCCCACGTTCGACGGCGCCTTCAGTTTCCGGTGATTAAAAGCACAACTTTCGAGCCGCGACGGGCTGATCCGCTAACTGGTCAGTGTCTGTCTGGTGGGTGAGGACTCTAAGGAGGGCCACGGCCACTTGGCACCTGAGAATAGGGACTACAGGCGACCTGTCCGATCACATCCATGGATTGTAACTGTGGTGACGGGGGCTGAATTCAGCTGGCGAGCTGTGCACAGCTGAGGGTAGCTCCTGCGAGATGGGGTTGCAGAGAATGAACTCGCCTCCTGGAGCATCAACGAAAGGGTGGAACTAAGTTAGGTTTTGATTGACTGTCAGCCGCAGGACGATGCCGGAGGACGCGCAGTGGATGCTACGCAGTGCAGATGAGATGTGCAAGTTTGCATGCAGATGCTTCCGGCGTCGACGGAGCCGTGATGAGACATGCATCCGTAAAACGCGATTGACTTCATGGTCGTCGTCACTAAATGACAAGATGCTCTGGGCGTGCAGCAACGGCCAGTCCGGCGGCGGGTGGCGTGGCTTCAAGAAATGCCCCCCCGCAAGGGCCGTGACGGAGAGTACGACAGCGTCTGTGTCTACTGTCTAGGTAGGCATGGCAATAGTCCGCTGCTAGGGTCGAACTCTACAGCTGGCCGCACATTGACTGACAGCTTGGACGAGCTGGGTCGCCTGCAAGTGCCAGCTGCGTGTCTAACTGGGTCTCGATCTCTCATCCAGGTCGGTGAGGGATCGGGACGCGGCGGGCGGTCACGTCACAACCGGGGAGAGAACCGGACTGGGGCGGGGGGGGACCCTGCGGGAGGGCATGGCCACGAGACCCCGCGGCGCGAATCCCAGTGATGCCGCCCCCCGTCCCTCCAACGTGACTGGGTGCCCTTGATGCCTTGTCACGTCGTCGGTCGTTTCTCCTCGCGCGAGGCAGCGCCGCCGGCAGGCTATTTGTGGCAGGACCCTGCTGGAGCCATCGCCCGCGGGGAGCCTCGCCGCTCAGTGTGATCTTCAGACCCTGAAGGGCCAAAGGCGCTCTCCTGGAAGCTCGGGACTGCCAATCGACGGGCGTTGGCGGGCTGCTGACACGGGGTCGGAGGGGCCGGCCCACCCCATCTGACCTCGAAAGTGTGGGGGATGGGAGCCGCTAAGGATCTTGTTTCCTTTTGTCTTGCAGGCCGCCTGGCGGGGCCGCCGCCATTGCCAGTGCCAGTGCCGTCAGAATCCAAGTACATCCACGGGTCAATGGATCATGCGCGCTGCGCTGCACCGGGGGGAGCTTTGACCAGGAAGCCTGGAGGACAAAAGCAACAGCATTGGGACACAGCAGCAGATTCACAGATATGCTGCTGCATTGCAAGGCTCCTCGGGACTTTTTGGAACTCGACGACGGGGAAACGGCTACTACCTCGTTGCACCAAAAGGGATCCCGGGTGCAGCGCGTGTCGGTGCGGCCAGCCTGGAACCTGGGGGTTTGGAGTGGTCCGTCCATGCTCCCGTCCTCCTCCACTCCACCCACTCCAGTGCTCCAGGTGGCAACCCCCCAGCTGCCGCCGCCGCCGATGCTACCACCCTCGCGCCCCCCCACCGCCCGCTTGCGTCCACTGCACGCGGAGGTGGGCAGAAAGAAAAAGAACAGCTCGTCCACACCACACTGCGGCGACCGCCATCTGCACACACAAAAACACCACGACACCGAAATCATCCCAGCTACCAGACGAAACGCCTCTTCTGCCTCGCGTACGCCTGCCACAGTCCGCGCCCGCGACCGACAATCAATCGAGCAGCCGTCCGATATACCCTGCAGAGCATCTGCGGCAAGCCCGAACCCGACACGAGGGCAATCGTCCCCCGAGCTTCCTCATTTCCCTTGGCTGTGCGACCACGGAGGGGGACTTGGTGCTCCCCATCCTCCACCAAACATCCTCTGCAGCCTCCAATTCAATAGAAGAAGATTCGCAATCATCGTCACGTGTCCTGGCGCGCAATGGAGAGCCTTCAGTTGTCCCAGGTGCTCGCCGACCTGAGTAACCTTGGAGCTGCGGTTCGTCCCCTTCCTGGCCCTTCCTATGCTGCGGCATGCCATGGCTGACCATCGCCACCACTACAAACTACAGGAACCTGAAGCCGCAGCTGCCATAGTTAGCGCGAACATCCCCACCATGAGAACCGACGTCGTCAAGCCGGAGAGCGCCGTCGCGTCCGCTATTCAGGCCCAGCAGTCTCAGTCGCGTCCTTCCTCGTCGATGAAGCGGACCTTTTCCGCAGAAGGCGGCGTTCCGCCCAAGTTCGACAAGTTGGGCCGGCGTATCCTCATCAGCTCGTCCGGCTCGCGCCCCGGCTCCGCGACCAGCTCGATCCCGGGCACTCCCCGCCGGGTGGACTCGGACGTAAGGGTGATCCCGATGCTGGGGTTCTTTTGCGAAGACTGACAGGTGTCGCGCCGTGTAGGTGGATGACGACCTCGAACGGGCCAGCACTCTCATGGCCCTCTACGACATCCGCGCCAAGATTAAGCAGCAGGACAACAGCAGCCTCATGAAGGCCCGCGAGAAGATCAACGCCCTGGCAGCCAAGCAGCAGGCCCAGCAAGCGGCGGAGCGCAACCTGCGGGCCGCGGAGGAGATGCGGCGAAACCGCTACTCGTTCCCAAAGTCTGGCCTCTAATCGTCCCGACCGACTTGCAGCGGTTGCGCTCTGCGTGTTTGTCTTGGTTTGACATGCCCATAGAGCTCAGGGTTTCTTTTTCCTTGCTTGTGGATGTACGGCGTTTCCGGCTTGACAAACGCGGTTTTCCCTCAGATACCTTTGCCATCTTTCCTACCTGTTTTGGGAGGTCTGGTGACCAAAAGCAACAAGATAACGACTATTGATAACGACCTACGGCCTGAACCTACGAAACGAGTAATACCGACGAAGCGGGGTTACCGCTGGGGAAGAAGCGGAGTACGAGAGCCGGAGCACCCTGAGCAACATGGATCAATCACGACGGTTTCTTTCACTGGTCGATTTTATCCTCTCAGTTGCACTGGCAGGCGTTGCTGGCCCTAGTGGCTCCCGCCTCAGGAGCACAGCGAACTCGGCAACCTGCCTTCTGACTTCTGTTTTCTTTTCACCCTCGCGACCTTGCAGCGGATTTGTCCCCGAGGCACTCGCCCTTGCAGGAGATATGGGGGCTGCCGCGCGGGGTCAGGGCGCACGGGTAGCAAACCAGGCATGAAGCAGCGTATTTGTTCTTGTAGGACATTCGTCGAGGAGGGGCGAGAGCGGCTATAGCCACCTGTACAGTACTGCCAATTCAGCCTTAATACCTAAGCCCATGACGCTTTCCACGTCCATACAGTTCACGAGGTTGGGCCTCTTGGCTCGGGGGTCCGGCGATAACGCGGGATCGGGGGTGGAGAGCGCCCCGGCGCGAGCAACAGAGTGGGGGTTAGCAGGGTGAATGTTCCTCAGAGAGGCGGGGGTCGCGATGCCCTTGGTGGCTTCGCCGGCGACATCATCGGGCCCCCTGTGGCTGTGAAGCATAGGTAGTTACTCAGTTACTCAAATACTCGGAGTGCGGATGATGACGTCGTGTTGGCAGGCCATGCCGTACCTGTGCTGACGGGGCGAGCGAGGCCGTGCCCTTCTAGAAGAGTGCTGCCCACGCGGGCCATCAGCAGGGATGATGGCCTCGTGCGTGCTTACACCCCTTTCCCAGGTCGTGCCTTTGCGGGTACTACGGCAGGGTAGTTTCGCAAAGGGGAGCCCCATTTTGGACGGACGATGCGCATCATCTCGGAGCCGGTTTGGTGCGAAGGGCTGTTGTGCTTTAGACACCCGGCCGTAAGGGCTTCCTTCGCTCCTCGATATGAGGGCTTCTGCGTGCATGGTTGGTCACCTCAAGATCGATCAGTAAGGTAGCTAGTGAATGGTTCGGCCGCCCTTTACAGCATCGCTCCGGTCCAGTAATTTGGAATTGTGTTGTTTAGCATATACGATCCTCACAACATCAAGCGACTTACACGGTCGTGGGTGGTAGAGTAAGTGGGAGGAGAGGCGGCGATGACCAGGCGGCGTACGGGGTCAGCCTCACTAGAATCGGAGGGCGTATTGGCGGTAGAGTTGATTTACCCGAGTCTACGGAGTGCCTGCTCGCGGACAGCGCCCTGGTAAGGAACATTTCTAATTAAGTTGAAGGCGCAGGGTGGAAGGTCCGCCCCGGGACGATTGGGTGACTTGGCGCCGACCTTCGGTGAACGGAACAGTTGATCAGCCTTGTCAAGCTGGACAAGAAGGTACTGGTATCGCCAGCCGCGGAGACAAAAATAGCGTTACCAACTCCTACACAAAGGAGTAGGGTTACTGAAGTCATGGGCAGCTCTCGTCCTGTGACTCCTGTCACTTTTGGGCAGTTCTCTGTTCGATGTAATGTGCTTAGACATCTATTGCACGGCCGAGGCCGCAAGGCATACAACCAGTTGAGGAAATTCCAACTGGCCGGGATCTCAGAGGCATTTAGCCAACCCGATGCTAAATCCTCAACTGGATCCCAAACTGACCGTTGGTCGTGATGCGTTTGCTCGCTCCCAGCGGCTACTGCACCTGGGCGAGCCGCTGGGCCGGATCCTCCAAGGCCGGGCAACCAGGGCTCAGGGCCTCCTCTGCACGGACAAGGCAAGGCATGGCGCTATGGCACCCCAAGGGTCCGATCTGCCGCAGAGATGCGGTGGGCCAAAGAGCAGCGCTCCGCGCTTCCGAGAAGGGCAAAATGACTTCATGCGCTTTCATGCGAGGGGGCCGGCCTGCCAACCCGGGCGAACCGTCGTCATCTCAGTCAGCGACGGCCGCCTGAAAAGACACCGAGCAGAGGCAGGCTCAGGTGCTGGACCTCAGGTGCTGGAGGCGAATCTGGTGGCGCGACCGCGCGTACGGAGCAGAGGTGTCGGTACTGTACTGTACCGTACTCCGTCGTTTCCACAGATCAGTAGAATGGATGCCCGGGGCGAGCAGTGAGCCAACCGGCGGCGCGAGCCAAGAGTCTTAGTCGCAGTTCGCGGAGCCAAGTCCAGCCGGTGTGGGTGTGCGCGAGCGAGTGTGTGACTGTGACTGATGGGGGCGCGAGTTGTCAATGCGACTGAGACAAACTGCAGAAACAGCATCCGCGCCTGTCACTTTGGTAGTCCTGATGCACGTCGAAGATTCACGTACGTGGTATCGGTGAACGGAGGCGATCCCGACCGACATGGCCGCTCCGTGGCCGTGCTCGCGCCCGGGGGACTGGGGCAGGCCGCCCGATGGCGCGGCGAGGCGTCGCCGTCGACATTGCGAGACGTGACGATGATGAAGAGGGTCCGCCCGGTCCCCGCAAAAGGCCACGAAAGGATGGCGCAGCGCCCGCATGTGATTCGCCGCTTCCACAGCGCACAGCCACCGTGGAATCAACCCAAGTCACTCCAGGCTTCACCACCTCATGGCGCCCATTTGCTGCGCGGCGGGGCGTGGAGCCACCTCCCCGAAGGGGGCGGCGCAGCTGGCAAAAAAAAAAGCTGGGCTGCTTTGCCGAGCCAACTCTAAAGTCCGGCGCCTCCACCCAACCGAACCAAACGGCTGTCGGGAGAGGAAAACGCGGCGGCGTTGTGTTGGCCGGCGAGGCAGAGGGCCATGCATTACCGGCCTGCAGGGTGAAACGCGCAATCATGAACGACGGCAGACGGGATCTGGTGCGACGCAGCCAGAGCCAGGCGGGCGCTGCATTGCAGCTTCGGCACGGGCGAACACGGGATACACGATGGAGGATACACGATACAGGTAATATGGAACAGACCTGCAGACCGCCAGACGTGTCGTCGTGGCAGAGCGTCTCATCGCGGTCCGGTGCTGGCAGGGCAGTGCACGGCCTGCGCGCGCGCCCCCGGCCCCGTTGGGCCCAAGCCGGGCCTAGCGGTGGCTCATTGTGGTCGTCGGTCGGGTCAGGTCAGTAAGTCAGCCAAGTCAGGTTGTTTGTCTCTTTGTCGGGCTACTGCGCTGTGCTGTGCCATGGCTCGACTTGGGTACCTACCGTCCACTACCTCAATACCACGCTACCTACGCTACGCTACGCTGTCCCGTGGGATGCAGGATGGCCCGGCTGGCCACTGCGGCTGAGCCTGCATCCGGCTCGCAGCTGGAGCTGCCCAGCGCCCGCCCGTCTTAAAAAGCCACTTTGCCCAGACTTTTGGTACTTCCCATAGCCTTTCCGCTCGACTGGCACCTCATTTTCTTCTCGTCATCAATCGCACACACCTCCCTGACGACGTTGCGTCTCCTTCGATCGAACGCATTCGTCGAGTCCAGTTAATTTGTCGAGACAGAGGCGTGCCCGACAACGTCCGTTGCTAGTCTCTCTCGAACAATCGCCCGCGCGTCGACGCCGTTGCTTTTGGGTCGGCCCCCCCCCACCGCAAGATCAAGCACGCGGTGCGCCCTCGTACACGTCATACGGCGACCGGAATCCTACATCACAACAGGCGGCCAGCATCTCCGCTCCGTCAATTTCCATCACCTTCGCATAGCTGCACATCTTCTTACGAAGCGCGGCCATCGCGACAGCTTTCCTTTTCGCCATGGCGCCCACGTCCAGCGAGCTCGCCAAGCGCTACTATTGTAATGGCTATGGCTACTGCTACAACAGCAGGTGGTACGACTGGGGCCGATGGGTTGTGGTCGGAGCCATCATTTTCTTCTGCCTTCTCATCCTCTTGTCCTGCACGTAAGTCTTGTGATCCCATTCAATGCCGTCAAGCGAAGTCGGTCATTGCTAACACTGCGCGCAGCTGCGTTGCCCGTCGCCGCCGCCGTCGTGGCGCACAGCCCATGTATGGCACCGGATGGATGGCGCCCGCCGGCAAGTACGGCCAGAACGGCCACGAGATGAACAACTACCAGACGGGCTACAACCAGCAGGGCTATGACCAGCAGCAGTACCAGCAAGGCTGGAACCAGCAGGCCGGCTACGCCAACCCCCCTCCTGCCTACGGCCAGCAGCACCCCCAGTACACGGGCACCACCTTCAACCCCAATGACGGCTACTACGGCCAGCAGCAGGGCCAGCAGTACGGCGTTCAACAGCCCGCCCACACGTACCAGCGCGAAGGCAACTTCTCCCCGCCCCCGGGACCGCCTCCCGGCAAGTAAGGGCATCGCGGTCAGCAACGTTTGTCGTGAAGGTTAACGGACGAATGTGGAGGGTCTGGCGTTATGGGAACACCGTGATGCTGTCTATTTTGCTATGTTTTATTTGACGGACGCTCAGTTGATGGACTGTGAACGATACCATATATGGAGAAATTGCTACATAATCGCTATGCGTTGAGGATACACTTGTTGCGGCGTTTCAGATAGGTCGCTGGGGACCATGGCATGGTTGCCTGTGTCAGTCATGTCGAGCCTTGGCTTCGGGCAGCGGCAATCTACTCTACGCAGCTAGAATAGGTCGGGCTACAGCCAGTCTTTATAATGAAAGACTCACTTGATCAAACCTAACTGGGATCACGCTGGGGAAGAGCATGTTATCGGCAACCATTGCGCGGCGCGCTGGGCCCCAATGGCCTGGATGCTTCACCCGTACAAACATCGCCCGCTGCGCCACGGCTTGCATCTCCGGGAACTGATATCAAGGAACCCATATCTGGACGCCTTTCTCTGTGCTACAATAACCGACCCGCCTTGGTGGTCGTGTTGCATGGCTTGTCAGCGGCCGCGTCAAATCTTCGGACCGCGCCGACGATTTGTCCCGTTGCCGCTGTCATCCACACAGATCACGAATTACGACGAACCAGCCGCCCAAGAGGCGCAGCCAGGGCTGATGCGACCCACGAGGTGGACAAGACCGTTGCGCTCGGGTAAGCAGATTATAAGAGTGGCCGCCAGCGAGAGCATGCGTCATCCCGGCGGCCGATGGCACTCGTCAGGGGCCATTGAAAGTGACGGCATATCGAACCCCTGAAGCCGTCAGCCGCCGCCGCCGGGGGTCCTGCGACCCATGCTTCCAGGCCTGGCCTCGACCGGAGGAAGCGGAAGGTGCCGCAATCAGCGGGCCATTATGCGCAACGTGCGTGCGTAATGAGGACTCGTACTTGCAGCAATGCCATCGTTGGCAGACACAAACCGAGTCCTGACCCTCACGATGCCATCGCTCCGCAAGCCGGCACCGGACCTCCGCCTCCTACTAGTTCGACATGGCGACCACAGAAATTTCTTCCTTTTTTGAACAGTGGTTCCCTTCTTGGGAATGACGAGCGGCGCCAGGCGTTGCTTTTCTCTGCAGGGCAAGTCGGCCAGAGGATCCCAATACGCGAGGGCGCTGCGGGCTCCACCTTCGGCTCTCTGTCGTCGGCACTTGGCAGGGGATGGATGGATGAAGTGGACGAACTGCACGCGCTCTTTTCTTCTTTGCCGCTGTGAAATCCGTTTGCGCCCCCGTGCCTCTGCGGGTGCCGATCGGCAGCCGGCGTCAGTGCGTTTTGCAGAGCGGAGAGGAGAAGAGGGACCGCGGAGGTCGAGCGAGACGCGGGAGTCGGAGAGGCTGCATGCGTGGCTGCGAGGCTGTGGGACACAGAGCGAAGCCACGGGCAAGAGCTGGATCGAGCGCTTCCTTCTTTTCCCCTTTCACGCACGACATCCACACCAGGCCCTTTCCGCCCTCCGCTCTGCATCTCTCCCCTTCTTTTCATTCATCCTTCTCCCGCCCCCTCTCTCTGGCGGCATCCTTCTTCAATTTTCCCATCTCTTCGGGTGAACGTCTTGGAAACGGGCGTCGCCCTTCTTCTTGTCCCTCCTTGTATTAGGCTCCATGCCGCTATTGTTCCATCGTTGAACTTTCAATCGCTCCCGCGTGGCCGACCAGGCGCTAGCGGCTGATACGCCACCACTAAAAACGTGCCCCCCAACCTCGCTGTCGGAGGGAGAGCCGCTCGCTGAGAGGTGCCCGTGGTCGCCCACCAACTCAGGAACCAGGAACCAGGCGCACTGCAACCTGGAAGCCAATTGCACAGCCCTCCCATTCGTTTCACCACGACCCGGGCGTGAGACACTCTCTGGACGGCGCTGGACCACTCGCCATCTGCCCATCACGGCTCCTCGCCCCTACCCGTCGATCTCGTGCGTCCCCCATCCTCGTGCCACCTGAGGTCACCCGCTCGACCAAGGGCAGAGTCGGGGCCACTGAGGACGACTTTCGCTCGCTTTCACGGCTGGACAACGTCCTCGTTCCGTCGTTCGCTTCTTCGCGCCGACTCGACATCACTCTTTCAACGAGTCGTCATTCCTTTCGACCCCGTTCACGTCCCAGGGGCTTTTACGCTGCTCGAATTCCTCGCCCATTCTTCCACACAGACAGTCACACCACTGTCGGTCAGACGAGCCCAGAGCGACGAGACCGTTCTTTCACGAGTTCCGATCACGAAAATTACCTTGCGCTTCCCTTCCAAACAACGAACCTGCGACTCGACCCTCGGTCGCTCTATTGAATCGGTCCACGTCATTGCGACCTCCCAGCACCGAGACCAACCACCCGTCATCCCGAGCGACGCCCGATCCGCGACTGCCGAACCACCCTGGATGCCTTTATCAGAGAGACGGATAGCCTGACGACAATATGCCGTCAGTCGACGTCGCTATGGCGAGGAGCCTGCGGGGCGGAGTGCTGGACCAGTTGAAGGACGTCGTCGCCCGCGCCGTTGTTGCTGGGCTGTCGCGGAGAGACATCATAAGCGACGCCCAAGGCAAGGTGACCGACGTCAAAACCGCCTTCTCCAGCTGGGACAACTGCATGAAGGCCTCGTTCTGCAAGTGGCCGGTCATCGCCGTCATTGTTGTTGGCGGTCTCATCCTCCTCGGCATCGCATGGTGCATCATTCGATGTGCGTGCTGTGGCCTATCGTGCTGCTGCAGCTGCTTCCAATGCCTCAAATGTTGCGGCAACTGCTGTGGCTGCTGCGATCCGCCCGGTGGACGTCGCCACAAGTACCTCGATGAGCCTTACATCCCACCACACCACGGCCAAGGCTACCAGCAGCAGACTCCCATGCAAGCGCCTTTCCCTCCCGCCACCTCAAAGCACCCAGTATACGAGCCCCCTCAGTATGCCGAATTCGATGTTTCGAAGAAAGGTAGTGAGGATGCCCTTCCTCACATGCCCAGTTGGGAAGGCGCAGGGTCCAAGAAGGTAGTGCTGGAGGAAGAAGAGATGGAGATGAACCAGCTGAAGAAGTCGCCCAATTCTACTCCTGCGCAACCACCTTTGGCTTCACCATCTACTGGCCCAGTAAGCCCCATGGGTATGAACGGCCATAGCCCTTATGACAACCCTCGAGGTGGCCCGAACGGTTACATGCCCAACCAAAGCCAGCAAGCCCTCGGCCATGGCCGTCTGTCTCCTGGTCAGAGCCAGCAAAACCTCGGCGCGTACTCACAAGGTCAACCAGGCTACAACAACGTGGCTGCGAATCGCGAGTCCGGTTTTGGTCTGGACCAGCCCTACGACGACCCAGCCCTAGGTGGCACGCCTGGCCAGCATCCACCCGCCTCAGGGTACATGGCCAACGCCCAAAACCAAGCGTACGTGCCACCGGTCATTGCTGGGATGGGCCAGGGTCGACAATCGCCTGCTCCCGGACGCCATATGAACCAGGGCTATGCCGAGATGCCAGCCGAAGCTGGTCATATGAATGAGTATGGCCAACGATCACCCCAGGACGCCCAAAGTGGATACGGTATGAGACGTCAAAACACCGGCGACAATGGCGCTGTGGCAGGCAGCCGTCCTCCCTACGGCATGGACCCTCGCATGCGCAACTCACCCGGTCCGCGACGTACGCCCGGTCCCCGCAACGACAACGCGTATGGGCAGTCACCCAGAGCGTCACCGGCTCCTCGTGAGCAAGGTTACGGGACCCCCCGGTACGGGTCACCAGCTCCGATGAACCGGACATATTCTCCCGCTCCGCCCCCGGACAGGCACTTCTCGCCCGCCCCCGAGCGCCAACTCTCCCCCGCCCCAGGGCGTCACCGAGGTCAGGACCATCGACCTCCCCCGCTGGCCAGACCGCCGATCAGCCCTGGTTTTGCACAGTCTCCTCCCCAGTCGCCCATCAGGAACAACTCGGGCTTCGACTTCACGTCGGGATACGCCCGTCCGGAGAATTCTGAACGCCGACCAAACGAGCCGAAACAGTCGCCTACTCAGGAGGCTTACCCAGGCTACAAGCCCTATCAGCCAGCTCAATAGTCATGGGACGCTGTTTGAGCGGCTTGGCTGTGCAGTTCCTTTGGAAGTGTCTGGGTCCGGCGTTTGGGAAAAGTTTGGAGAGCCTCGGGGCGGAACAGCTCGGTCGTGAGACAGGGCTGAATCAATCGTGCTTATGACCAACGATTTTCGCCTCTCATGAACATTTGGTTTCAAACCTCTTGGATGATCGAAATCTGTTTGTCTTTTATGTATTCTTCGATTCTTTCTCGGCAAGCCGCAATTGGGTCATGCTTAAGCTTGCAGCGTCTACACATCATCGACTGATGTGGTTCCTTCAGTGTAACATATTTATCAACCTTGCATATTTTTCAGTGCTTCACATATAATTTCGGTCGTTCTTGGCAGTCGTAAGCGTGACGCAGCACCCTTGTCTTGTACTGCCTAGACACGTGTCCAGAGGGCGCAGTGTACGACCATCAGCGTTGCATGCATGACTCGAAGACAAATCCCTTGATATTGTTGTATTCTTCGCACTCGCCAGACGCCATTCGCCGAAAGACGGAGGAAAACACGACTTCGCTCGCCCCGCCACAACCCGTACTCAGCCCATGATGTATACCCTGATATGCACAACAGTGTGTTTCTAAGTGTGGTGTTAAGAGAGGAGGGAAATCGAGAAGACATGAAATATTGCAACAAGCCCACGCTACAAAAAATCAGAAAGGTGGCAAATACATTGTTGAATCGCCGCTACTCCTTGGGGAACAGTTCCCGTGGCACCTTGTTGCGTTCGATGCGGCCGCTAGAGCTGCTGCCGATGACGGTCGGCGCATCGCCGTCCACGTCTGGGTCATACTCTTCTGCCGCAGTGGATGTGGGCCTTTTGACGACTGACTTGACGTCCTCGTCCTCGTCGCTGTCGATATCGCTGTCTGGGCCGCGGGTGCGCAAACCGGTACCCTCATCGTACGCGTCCGGGTCCTCGGACGGCAGCCTCTCGTGCTCGTCGGTGTCCTTCTTCTTGATGAAGGAGTCGATGATGTAGTACTGCAGGGCGTTCATGATGAGGGGGAAGATCATCATGACGAAGGCGATTTGGAGCCGCTCGTTGCCCTCGGTCCACTTGAGCGCCCAGTCGCCGACCTTGGAGATCCACGGCATGACGATGAAGATGATGAGGACGCAGACCTTCATGCCAAATAGGCCGCAGAAGTAGATGACGGACTGCTTGAGCCACCACCATGCGTTGGGTGGGTTGCCGTAGTTGCCCGACTGGATGGACTCGACGGGCTTGCCGAGCGGCGTGAAAGCCACTAGGCCTGTCATGATGCGTAGCAACACGATGAGTATAGGGATGCCAACCGTTGTCTAGGCCATGGTCAGCAACGAGACGCGTTTAGAGACGAGCATAGAGAAACTCACGTCAATAGCTAGGTTGAGCAGATAAAACGAACAGGGGTTGGGGACGTAAGGATCATCGGCCCGCGACATCACGCGTGCCGCGGTGGGCTCCAGCTTGATCGAGAAGCGTCCGCTCGTCAACATGGACATGAAGATGTTGGCGATGTGCACTAGCACCGACCCAAAGACTTGCTTCGAGACGTCGAAGAACCAGATCTTGAGGGGCCGTTGCGGGCGTTCCCTCCAGCGCTTGTACACCAGCGAGAGCAGCGCGAGGCCGCCCAAGGCCGCCTGCACAATCAGCGCGAAGGGACCTAGCAGGGAGCACTCGCCCTGTGGCGCGTCCTTGTGCGGCCCGGCGGCGGATGTGGTCGATGTGGCAGTGGCGGCCGCTACGGCCGCGGTCGCGATGGTGGCCATGCCGTTGTTGATGGCCATGCTCGTGAGGGAGGCGGGTGCATCGACTCCGATTGTTACGGGCGCGGCATCTCGTACGGCGGCAAGGGCGCCTAATAAAGGTTGCATGAGGGTCTGTGACTCGAGTGTTCGGGTGGGTGGCGGACGCTCGAACGAGCGAGGCTGCTTGGCAGCCTTTGCGTCGCCTTCAAATAGTCGTCGTCGTCGTCGATCGCCACGCGTTCGGACAGGAGTGTACAGCAGAGGTCGGCCTGGCCGAGAAGAAAGGAGAAGAAGAAGATGTGAAGGCGGCGCAGCTTCGGGTCGGGCAAGGTTCGACGAGGCGCCAGGAGAGCAGCCGAAACGAGTCTGAAGGAACAAAGACCCGCCGAGTGGATACGGAGACGTGAGGCCGTGCTTATTTGGCGGTGGTCGCCGACGAGAACCTTGCGAGGAGCCGTGGGAAGGGGAAAGGCGGGAGGTGTGCTTGGCAGCGTTTTGCCAGCTGACCGCGTCGTGGTGGTGGTGATGAAAGTGTGTATGAATGTCTCATGCCTCGAGGTTCCAGGCTTCCACGGTTGGGGGGACCTCAGCCTGGGACACAGCGCGGCGCCAGCGCCAGTGCCAGCGTCATCCACTCGACGGCCGGGGGAGGGGGTCCGTCCGCTTAGGCTCATCTGGCGCTGCGGCATTCTGAGCTGATCCCCCCAAGCTTCGGTACGTACCTTCTGTCCCCTCCCCTAAGCAGGGCTGAGCTCGGAGGATTCCCCCCTGCGGTGCCCCACAATTTCGGTCCAACGTCCCTCCATCCCCCGGCAAGGCCTGAGCCACACGTCGACGCCTGGTACCAGCCACAACTCACGTGTGTCGGGAGCCTGTGGCTGAGCCAAAAAGTTCCAGGGCCTGCCTCCAATTTGCGTCGGGGCCAAACAACCTCGCGACGGCTTTGCAATTGCAAGGGGACGCCTCGAACTTCTTCCCCCCCCCGAGACGAACCCGCCACATCATGTTCCGCACACGGCTGAGGATACCGCGCCAGGGCCTGTCCCTCGGCCTGCGGACGACGGTCAATGCCCGGAGGAGCCTGCATCAGGTCCCCTCGCTGCCGCACGACTACTCCCAAGGCATCCCGAACCTCATGAGCCCCGGCGGCTTTGCGGTCGCGTGGACGGATTACATGTCCTTGATGGTGGAGAAGCTCAATGCCTTGACGACAGGTAAGTTCTGCTCTTCAAGTCTTCCTTTGCGCAATGGCTTTGCGCTTGCGACGGCCGCGAGGAGCTGTAGCCCTATTGCCCAAGCACCCCAGCTAACCGCATTTCATCTGTAGGCACTGAGCTCGAGGACAAAGACACCAAGACGATCGCGCTTCTCACCGCCCGCGAGCCGAACCAGGCGCCCATCTTCAACTACGCCTCAATGGCGCACAACAACCACTTCTTCTTCCAGGGCATCTCGCCGACAGGCACCCCGATGCCCGACGTCCTGCGCCAGGAGCTCGAGGCCTCCTTCTCCTCCGTCGAGACGCTACGCCGCGAGTTCGTCCTCACCGCCTCCGCCATGTTCGGCCCGGGCTTCCTGTGGCTCGTCAAGGCCGGCCCCGGCGACTACCGCCTCCTGCCCACCTACCTCGCGGGCTCGCCTTACCCCGGCGCGCACTGGCGCGCCCAGCCCACCGACATGAACACGGTCGGCAACGACGGCACCGCCCGCGGCTACTTCAAGAACCAGGCCTTTGGCGCCCGGCGGCGGACCGGCGACCTGCCCCCCGGCGGCATCGAGCTCGAGCCCCTCCTGTGCCTCAACACGTGGGAACACGCCTGGCTGCTCGACTGGGGTGTGGGCGCCGGCGGCAGCGGCGGCAAGATGGCCTTTGCGGAGGCTTGGTGGGAGCTCATCGACTGGGAGAAGGTGGCGCAGAAGTCGGGCGTCCTGAGGCCAGACTTCAAGTCCGCCTCAACGCAGTGAGGTGGGGTGGTGAGGAGACGGCTTCCATAAAGAAGAAAAGTGTAGATGAAGTACAAGGGTGGCATGCACTCTCAGAAGTGCCTTGTAACATTACTGTCTGAAAATAGCCAGAAAATTGTACAGGATCATGAGGAGAAATGGGAAAGACCGCAACCTCTTCACTCTCTGCCTTGAGCCGTGGCTCGTACACTATGCCGTGGGAATGGCGTGCTCGCCAACAACAACCGGAAGTCAACAATGCTCTACGAACTACGAAGTGGACACAACGATCCACGTCCAATCTTCGGTCACAGACAGTGGAGGATCAGACGACCCCAAATTACAAGACGTATAGGAATGGCACATCACGGCGCCATCACACTCAGCGATTGAACATGCAACCAGATACACAAAGAGATGCTGATTCATTGAAGTACTGCAGAGCAGTTTCGCATAAAAGTAAAATGGTATCCTAGTTGTTGGTGTCTTGAACAAAACAGAGAAAACATTGCTCGTGCCACATGCCCCATACTAATCGTTTTGTTTCGCTCCGTGAGCTACATAATCAACATCGTAATGATCGGAATAGACAGCAAAGAACCGATATGTTCAGAGTGGCAAGGAGAGATACGCTGCTGTGGAGCAAACTTCATATATCGAAAAATCGGAAATGGTATCAACCTGGCGATGCCAGATATGTGTGATGTGGTTCTGCTCGTTAAGAAGTGGTGTAGTGGCGTTCATTTAGATCATGTTCCCGTTGACGCTGATTTCAAAGCCATCGCCCTTTTGCTTGAGGGCTTTAGCCAACATGAGCTCTCGCATCCAATCGATGCGATCGTCCCGATTCTTGACGGCAAAATGATGGGTCTTCCCGGTGCCGTTCACACCCTCGGACGGAGAGCGATTGGATGGGTGGAGAGAGCTGTCCCGCTTGCGAAGGCGCGTACCGGATTCCTTTTCCTGGGGGATGAGCTGAAAGCAAAACGACGCGATGGGGTCGCTCTTCTCCCGGTTGTGGGAAACACGCATCGCTTTAAATGCGGCACTAAGCTTGGACGTGGATGCAAGACTGGAACAAGCGATGGCGTAGTCGTCAACATCGACGTACTCCAGCGTCCGGCCTACTTCGGTCACATCTTTGTGCATGTTTAGCCGGGTGCCTCTGAGGGTAAAGTAGCCATCCTGCCACTCGTGTCGTAGCAAGCGCGTCTTGCGCTTCTTCATCGGACCCTGAAAGGTGACTCCATTTCTCGCTTCGTCTGGCGCGACAGTGTCACTGGATCGAAGACTTGAGATCGGCGGGATGGTATGCTCAAAAGATGTGCGCTCTGCAGGCGACCACGGGTAGTCAAAGCGTGGAGGTGGCTGAACGTGCTGTTGGGGAAGCCTCGACGGTGCCTGAGGAGACGAGGTCTTGGATCCTGGAGCGGGCCGACGCTCGTTCACAGAGGGCAGAGTCGGAAAAGATGGCCGCCTCGCCGAGGCGCGTGACTGTGATCGCACTAGAGGAACGCTGTTTGGCATGGTCGGCCGGTATCCCATGTCAGGGGGAACAGACTGCGACGCATCGCGAGAGATGGGCCCGGCCGGGACGGCCGTAAGCGGAGCGTCGGGGTCCGAAAAGGGGCTTGCCAGTCGATACGGATTCTTGGGGGTTTCCAGATCGGGCGACAGCGGGTCAGCTTTCGCCATGCGGTAGGGCATAAAATCCTGGGTCTGTCTGCGCCTTGGTTGTGCCTCCTGCGGCCCGGCTGGGGGAGGAACCGTGGCCGCTCGAGGAGGAGGTTGTCGTTGTGGGAGTGAGTCGCTCGGGATGGACAGCTTAGGCAAGCGACGGAGGCCACGGTGTGCTGGCTTCGCGGCTGGTGCCAGCTCAAACGGAGGCGTAGGCGGAACTTGGTCACAGGCGTCATTATCCTGTTGACGCTGGAAGTTGAGGAACTGGCGAACATTGTCTTGGGCATCTCGGGCCTGAAGGTTGCGCAGCGTAGCTTCTTGGAGGTATTGCAGCGGAGGTAGGCCGCCAGGTCCCAGGACATCCGATGACGCGACGACGGACGGTACAGCGTCAGAGACGGGACGGTGAACCTCGTTGGGGTCGATAGCTTTGGCCGTGTCTGGATTGCCAGCGTCTCCGAAGATCAAGACGGTCCCGCCTGCACCAATGTCGACGTGTGGGTTTGCTCTGCGGAATTCAGCGATCGCACGCTGCTGACGCCTCCACTTGGAACAGTTCTCGCCTTTGGAGCAGTGATGCGGCTTTGGGATGACTTGCTCGATGCCGATTATGGAGACTGACTCCATCGGTGTTATGACATCGTCAGCTGAGTGCTTGCGGCGTTGTCTCCGTCTGCTGCTTTGGCGCCTTTTCAGTCCATCATCGCTGGTCTTTCTCGCCTGTTTGGTCTCCTTTCTCGCCTCACGGCTCGGCGCATCCTCGATCGGGGTCGCAGGTCGCGGGGATGCCGGACGACTGTCCCGCAGAGCTTGAATTTGGTGCCATACTCTTGTGCGAATACCAAAAGACGGTATATCCAGCTCTCTTAGGTCCTCAAACTTGAGAGTAATGAGAATCGCTCCGTTGATGTCGTTCTCGATGAACCGATCAGCTACAGAGACCTCAACGCCAGCGTTGAGCATGGACTGTGCCACCATCTCGGGGCTCCACGAAGCAAGGGTGGAGGCATCGAGTTCCTCGTTCGCGTACTGGAAAGGGCTGCTCCGCCGAGGCAGCGGCGGTCGTTCTAGAAAGTCGGCAACGCCGCGCGTTACCTTTGGTGTCAAAGGCGACAAGGTCAGGATCGCTTCCTCTTCCAGCAAGGACGGATCCGTTGAGCTGCGGAACAAATGAGGGCCCCGGGGACCTTCGACTGGCTTCAAGGCGGCCTCGCTATACAGATCCCGCCCCCGGCTTGACCTCGGGGTCGGCACTTCATCGTATGTCGATACTGTGGTGAAACTTGGCTGCCCAGACTGCACGGTGCGTATGAGATATTGCTAGTCTCCAAAGGAATAGGGCTCGCTGGGGTGCGGTGCATTACTTACCGATTGCAAGCTCACTCGGGGCGAGTTGTCCTCCGCCTCCGTCAAGAGCTCCTCGTCCCAATCTGTATCAACAAACTCTGTCGCTACTGATGTTGGGCGTGGAGCTTGTCTCTCGTCTTTGAAACTGAAGAACGTGTCCCTTGCGGGCTTCTGTCGCATCTCCTGGTAGAGCCGTCGCTCTCCAGTCTGGTAATAGGCTTGATCCTGGAGTGTCTTGTCGTCAGCGAGGTTGTGATTGACCAAACAGTGCTGGAGCCATACCATGTGGGCTGAGCAGCTCGTCCCACTCAAACCCGCATAAATTTGAGGCTATAATGTTGTACTGCCCTCCGTAGGTAAGCTCTGGCGGGTATAAATCCACAGCCCAGAGCGCGTATGGCGTGGAAATCCGTTGCCGGCAATGTCTGTCTAAGTTGGATATGCCGAACCAGGAGCTCGTTCGGTGATAGACGTGCCGTGAGACAGCGAATGTAGACAAAGGGAATCGCGAAAATTGGAGAGGTATGAGGAGGAGAACACAAGTGCCAAACCGCGAGAGGAGGTCTTTCGGAGAGGTCAGCGGGCGGCTAGGCTTTGATATGCGTTGGACGACCTGATAGCACGGGCGGCTTGTCGCTCAGGAGGCAGGATACCCTCTGCTGCAGCGGGTGGGCATGGGATATGCCCCGATGTGACAGGGAACAGGCACAGAGACCAACGCTGCAGAAGCGCCGGCGGGGTGCGAATCACGGTGAGCGATCCAGGGCAGACGCTGGGGAGCCGAGAATAGGTGGTTGTCTGCGACGGTACTGACAATCGGCCGCTGCGCAGAGGAGACCTGACAGCGTCCGGTGGGTATCCGTCCGTCGGCAAACAGGCCTGGGCCAGCGCGAAGCTCGAGGGGGCGACCAGACAGGCGCGCTGCAGGACGCTCAGAGCGCCTGCAGCGTGCCCTCGCGCGGGGGTCATGATAGGTTCCCAGGGTCGGTGTGGCACTCTGCGGTCTGGCGGGCAGGGGAGACCAGGCGACCTGTGCCAGCCGTTAGTGTCTGGGGCAGCGAATCGCAGAGGGTCGGCCTCCTCACCATACCAAATATAGCGACCCTCTAAGCGCCGTGATGCCCGTGCAGACGACGGGCAGAGATGCCCAACCTCTCGACAGGTTTTCGCCAGACCCTTGTCAAGAGGCTGCAGATGCAAGGACAAGGGTCTTGTCTCTTGGGTCGGTCTTGCAAAGGCACCTCTCGTGGGCCGGCCATCTGCGCACTGATGCGCGATACAACCAGGGCCGACTCGGCACTGCACCGCTGCGCGAGGAATCGAGGTGTGCGCGGTGAAGGCGCATGGAAGCCGCGGGCCGAGCTTCGCAGGCTTGCTCGTTGCACCCAGGATCCCAGTCTCCCAGAGCATCCGACCTGCGGACGAGGGAGGCATGAAGCGGATCGGTGCTGATACCCCGCTTCATTGTTTTGTGAAGGAACCCACCTGGGCGCCCTCCGTCCTCAGTACTTCGCAGTCCGTACTAAGTTAATGGCTGGATCAGGCAAGCAGCCTGACGGTCTCGAGGAAGGCGCAACCAAGCACTGTACGTGGGTGTTCTGTTCGCAGTACTTCGGTAGGTGCCACCTGCTGCTTGTGAGGTGCGGTGGTGTGCGCCAACGCGGCAGGAACATGGACTTGCACCTGCTGCAGTAATCTGTGTAAGTCGCGTGGAGCCTGGAGCTTGCTGTCGACTCGACTCTGCTCCAGGCCAACCATCAACTTCAAAGCCTGTAACTCCCCAGACACGAAATCAGGCGCCGGTTCTATCTGACCGATTTGAAGTCCATCGGTTCGTCTGTGTCGTCGTCACCACGGGTCGGACCTGCGGGGGAGGTCGGTATTTCGCAATCGCGGACATCGAGGCTCGAGAACCCGACCTGTAGGTGGGGCCCGCGATGGTTGCAAAAGACATGGACCCCGGGCAGTTTTCGCTTGCGCTCCCTTGTCCAAGAGCCGTTGCGCCACCCAGCCATCAGAGCACGGTACACCCGCAGGCCACGGTGGTCGTGAGCGGGCACGTCGCACGGCACGACAACCTTGGGTCCACCTCAGGTCCCTAGGCATGCAAGCCAGGTCTCAACTTCTTGGTTGCCGTCTTGCGTGGCGTTGAACGGCGTCTTCTGCGAGCTGGCCAAGAAGGGCATGAACCAGCGCCGTCACCGCCGGAGTGGCTGGAAGCTATGTGATGTGCCATGGTAACGCGGGCAGCATTTGTCGAAAACAGGTTCGCCTTCATCCGCTTCTGCCGCTCCGTCCGCCGGTCTGCTGCACCTCATTCTTGCCTGCGCAGCCGACGGGCCACTCCGCCCCCTGCTAGAGGATTTTCGTTGACAACCCTCCGTGATGGATGGCGATGTGATATCCCCCACAGCACGCGGATGCGATTTCCATGCCTTCCATCACATTGCACCTACCTAGCTTCTCCGCACCACGGCACCGCACTATGGGCAACGGACCGAAAACTTCCCACCAACACGACTTCCACAAAGGGTTGGCATGTCGGAGAGCCAATCGTTCTCCAAAGGTCTGGCCTCGCGGTCCTGTGGCAGCAACGGGCGAGCTAGTGGGACGGTCCGGTTCTGAATGCCTCCAACCGCGGGTGTGGGCAAGATAGCTGACCAAAGCCTGTCTGTCTTCAGTCCCTCTTCAAGGCGCCAAGAAAGATGGCTGGCGGAAGAAGGTGTCCTCAGCAGAGCGTATGTTATTCATCACGGTGGCTGGCTAGCACAAGCCTAGGGGACCTGGCCAGCCGGGCGCGGAGAATGCCACGAGGCGAGTCCCTTGCTGGGAGTCATGGTCTCGGGTGCTGGCATCGTGGTCGGAACGTGACCTGGATGCCCGAGCGCACATGACTTACACGGATTATCGCGCAGTCTAGATCGGCGAGGCGGTCAGGGACTGATGGCTTCCTCACAGGGACCCCTCGCAAGACGAGACGGAGCTCAGCTCACACGCCGGGAGCGTCCCTGAAGCCTGACAGGTGCAGATGGATATCATGCTCGGCGGAGATTGACGGCAACGCCCCTCCCCTCGCTCTCGCTTTGCTACCTCGAGAATACGTCCGCACGCTTGCCTGAACATCCCAGCACGACGAAATGGTGTTGCCGAACACCATGCATTCGTGACAAGGGACGATCTGCTCGCCTGGCTTACCCCGGCCAGCTACCCCCCACACTGTGTGCCTTTATTCGCCAGTGGCAAACAAGAACCGGACTTGAATCGTCCATGAAGGGTGTGGGGGGGCACGGGAGGTGTGGGCATATGTCGGCGATATCGCGACTCCGTTCACGCGCACGGTGTCGCAAAGCACTGCTGTTGACCAAGTCCCCAACACAAGTCCCTTCTCAGCGCGCCCTAGCTGATCGCCTAGCCACTCTTGCTGCACTCCTCTACGCGTCATTTGGGACCTGATGACTGACACAGAGCCGCAGACGAATGGCATCCCAAACGAGGACAAACTGACTGAGGCGCAATTTGGATACAGCGGCCAATCCCCAGCATTATCAGCCCGACTTCGAGGGCGTGCTGCGTGCACAGCCATGGTCACCGTCTATTTGACATGTCCAGGCTTCTCGTAACTATCGAGTGCCTGCCTCGCGGATCCAGTCACCCCCGCAGATTGACAATTTACCCTGGACCCAATTGCGTCTCGATGGAGCATCTTGTGCCGTCGATTGGCCGGCGGCACAGTCTGTCCCAATCCTTGCGGGGGTTAGCAACAGCAACCATGGACGGACCTGCGTGCACGCTACGCACGGATCAGTTCTTCCGCCCATCTCCATCAGGGTCTTTGCTTTTTCGTATGGCCCTGCACACGGTGGCATGCGTCGCTCCCGCGGCCGAATTCAGCTTCCCCGCCGCCAGAATTGATGCTTTGCATCTCACATGAACGCGGGTTGGAGGTTGGCCCGACCTACCCTCGCAAGCCTCGCAAGCCTCGCAGCACATGCCGCGCGGAAGTGACTGGTCCCTCGATGACGATCATGATCGACCCGTCTCGACATGCACTAGCACGCCATGCCTTGTGCAACAGGGCGACCTCGTACCCGTGGAGCGCACGGCTCAACGCAGCTCACCCGTGAAGCTGGCCATGTGTTGCCCGAGCTCCCGGACCCGTGTTCTCCAACAGCAGCACCGGGCGTAGCGGGCGTTGTCGGTACTGAACCAATGTTGTGTTCCGTTGTACTCGCTGCCGCGCAACCCGTCTCAATTCACCTTGAGACCAGAAGGAACGTCCGTAACCCAGCTCTCGTCGGATCAGCTCACGGATGGCCTGATGGATATTGCGCGCAACCGCAGAGCCGACATCACAGACCGGCCAAGCCCCGCCAAGTGCTGATGCAGGGATTGCGAGTTTGCGGACAGGGTCTTTGGGCTGCACTAACGCCTCGAATCCTTCCCCGCCCGCCATGATCCACTGTTTCTTCTCGACCGACCGGGGAGCGACGTCGGCTGTTGTTCCCGATGGTCCACCTTTAATCTGAACGATCAATCGCTCGGCGGAACGGGCGCAATCTTGAAGCTGTGGAATGCTTCATCAAAGAAACTTTCGAAGCACAATTCACCTGCCTGTCGGGGAGACCGGGCAAAGTTCCTGGAAACACTCACATGCTCCAACTCGGATGCGGCCCGTACCTGGTTGTGGTGTGCTTACTGACAAGCTTCTGCTCCTCCGCAAGGCGGGATGGGAAGAGGTGAGGAGGAAGTGAGGAGAAACACGAGGCTATCGACTACCCGATCCAGCAAGGTCAAGGCACGCACACCTCCAGTCGGTGCGATGGAGGGGAGGTGGATGGTTCGCAACAACAGCCTGCGCAATGCGGAGGCCGCCAACAATGCTGACATAGATCATCAGCAACAACACAGTTTGGTGTTGGCCAAGAAAGCTATTGCCATCTGCGAACCTTCCTGGGCGCTGGAGAGAGATGAAGGTGACACTTATTCTCCATGGGCCAATTGACCTGCCCATCGACTCTCCGTACTGTGCCGAGCAGTCATGCAGGGCGGTCTCCAGTGAGGGGCAGCTCAACCAAGGGTGTCTGTGCCCCAAGGCCGCATCTGATAGCGGGGAACAGCCAAGGTCCGCCGAGGTGGAGAGCGCACGTTGCACTTCGAAGGCTGTAAAATGTAACTTCAAACTTGCAACTTGGAGATGAGGATGGCTTGCCTCCCCTGATGTACGACTAAAGTATCGCCAAGTGGCGCACCCTTCATGAACAAAGAAGAGCTTGCATGATCTGGCTACTAACCAGAGATGTCTCGAGCAGGATGACACCGGCTCGTGGCTAAAAGCTCCGATCAACGTGGTGGGAGTGGGGACGTTGGTCCAGCCTCGTCTCTATCAGAATTCGTTAGGAGCGGAAGCCCAGAGCTTCAGAAGGCGGGCTGTTGTTCCTCCTGTTGCGCCGTGTCTTGGCCCGGGTGCGGAGCCTGCTGCTACAGCTCACGGTGTAAGGGTCGTCGGCGAGCTGGCCTGCCCGCTCAGGACACTCGTCTGCCTTTGGTGATCTATTGCGGCAACACATCATGACACACCCAGTCCATTGAATTGCACCGCGGTTCCATAGGGTAGATGGTTTCCCTGTTGGTGCGTGTCTGCAGCGATCTTGAGATGCGTCGATCTCGAGACGGCAAACAGACGGAACGCCGAACGCCATAATTAGCCCGCCGGTCCATGACGACGAGTGCGCGCGTGTGCCGCAAGACGGGCGGTTAATTTGGCCCGGCAGTGACAGTGAATGTGGGCTAAATCAAAAATAGATGCGGAGGAGAAACATTGACGCGTTGGCGCCCGCCGAGTGTTGAGCGTATCGCGGGGGAAGACGTGAGCGCTTACAGCGGTGACAAAAAAGGTTGGACGACGTCGGCGGTTGGCCGCCAAATTTAGCCCCCCAGCAGAAACGTGGAAGAGGGGCTAAATTCAGTCTGTGCAACGGCAGGTTCGCAGCTTGTGTGCACTTTCCATGTTTGCCAAGCGATGCAGGGCCGTGACGAAGCGGCTGCGCAGAACTTACTCTGCTTCGACATTGTCTGTCGCGACTCCCAACTGTTGAACGCAATGGCTCTTTGCGCCGCCCGTGGTGCGCGCCCGCTGTTCGTCCACCAACGTCTTCCTCACCGTTCTCCGGTCAACGTCCATGCACCTCACCCAGAGTGCAGCGAAAGCCGTCGACAGCTCGAGCAGAGATGAGCGGAGTGCTTTGGCCACGACTCCAAGTCCGCACCTCCGCTCGAAGCCGACCAGCCCTGGCCATCTTGCGCCATCCATTGGTCCAGCCGCAAAGGGTGACCCCTGCCTAGCGTCATGCAAGCAAGAGCCAATCTTGATCGTCAACGGCCCTCTCGCCTAAGCCTTGATCCCTGTCCTCGCCCAGCGCTAGAATCGGTTGGTCCCGCGCCCGCTGCCGCTTCTCTCATCACGGGCTCATCCTGGTCCGCATCCTCAACTCGTCACATACAGCCATCGAATCAACGCCCTTCTCACATAGCGCCACTGGACGCTAAGCCCGTGGCTCGAGAGCCTGCCGCCACGGGAGCAAGCCATCTCGACCGCACGTTCTGCTCTGCGTCCTTCTCACCTCAAGCCCGACGACTTGACTTGCCCCCTATCCCTGTGTCACCGCGGGCCGCCGGGTACCGCTGCAGGTGCTGGCATGGAGTCAAGGACGATCGTGCCCATCGGCTGTTGTCCTGCTTCTCCCCGGCAGCCACCCTTGCTTGTGTCTTCACCTCGGCCATGATCGCTCGCTCGTCACCCCGTGAGACCCGTTCCCTGTCTGTCCTACAGTGTTGGACCTCTCGATAATGAAGAAAACACTGACCGCTCGCGGGCGAGCGAGGACCACGCGAGAACGCCAAGCCTTGAGCTCAGGCTGTTTGTGCGAATGTCATGAGCCACCAGCCATCAGCCATCCGGCCTCAACGCATCTGAGTCTTGACAAGGTCTGCCCCACGGCCACGACTGTTTCTAATGAGATATGGAGATGGCCGCGTTGGCTGCCGGTTTTGGATGCAAGAGTGATCTGCGAACCATCTGGTGAATGAGCACGACGAGAAGCCATGCTCGACCCTGTCTCATCAGTTCTTTCGTTTCCTCCGGCAAGCGCTTGCGCGGGAAGCGTGCCCATGATTTGAGAATGGTGAGGCATTTATAAATGCAAGACTACCCGTGCACGGCAGAACCCTGCAAGATAGGCTTCCTGCGGAAGCGCGATGGTTGTATTTCTGCTTGCAGCCTCATGCTGTGCCGTTCCGGTCGGGCTGGGATCTTGAGAATCATCCCATGTGTGCTCGCGAAGAAGTCTTATCCTGCAGAAACCATCCTCGAGCCCATCGGCGACTTCCCCGCCGCAATGATGGTACAGTATAGAGGCTGCATAACCGACCTTGCACACCGAGGCATGGGCAACGGCCTGCATGCATAGTTTCTGCAAGAGTGCAGCCCCGTGCCGCAGGGAGGCTGGCTACACCCTGACTGATTGTGCGGGTTCGCGGGGGTCGGCTGGCCGATAGCAAGGTTGAGCTCCTTGTCCCAGCAAGCTCTCGGGTGGGAGGGGGCCAAGGCGCCCAAGACAAGGTGCGGCGTACGAGTACTAGCACGCCCGCCCGGTGCAAGTTTGGACCGACCCTCGGGACTGCAAGTCTTTTGCCATGAACTGGTGTGCAATGGGATCTCTTCACGGCTGCATCGGATCAGGGACAAGGCATCCAACATGCTGCAAGCGTACGCGGAGCTCAAAGTTCTGTGCCCGTGAGCCAACGCAGATGGAGCTGTGCTCCTCCTCGGGTCGGCGTGAGCCAGAAGGGCAACACGCACTCTGATCAGCACAGAAGCTAGAGCTGGCGGATGGAGCTCGTGCATTGTGGATGGGTGACATTCGACGGGCGAGGTGCACGACTTGCCCTTTTGGTTGGCCCCCCCTCAGCGGCCTGCAGCGTCCCAAAGCCTCTCTCTGCATGGGGCGGGCCAGAGCAGACGACCCCCCGCTCATTGGTCTCTCTAAGCGCAGTCGCTGAGCTCGGAGGCGTGATGTCTCTCAGTCGGTGTTAGTGCCTGGTTCAAAAATAGCATCAGGGCTTCATCGGATCGCGGACAAGCCATCCAACGCGCTCCAACACCATGAGGTCTTGCGAAGGGCGGCCATGATATAAGTCTTTGGCCTCCAGCCGCCGGCCTGGAATTTAACCCTCTTTTCTTTCGGCGTAGAAGGTGAGAAGATCCAAGTGTCGTTCCAAGGTTTCCCTTTTCTTTTATCCCTCTTTTCCCTCTCCCTCCTGGGGGCGCCGTCCTCTCTCGTCCCCGTTCCCCCTCCCGCTCGCCTGACATTAGCATTTTATTTTCCCGTGAAGAGCAAGCTGGCCTTGCTTGGAACCAGTCATTCCTTGACGATTTGTTTGCGAGCACGCCTTCATCTTGTTGTGTTTAATAACGACGCGAGCGTCGCCGCCAGTCAGCTGCCGCGGCCCGAGTCGAGTGGCCGGCCACGAACCAAACTAATTCGATAATTCAACGACTAACGTGCGTTATCAGCGAGTGGACCATATCAGCGAGTGGACCACTTTTCACCACAACGCGGCATTCCACACTTAAACGTTGAATTTCTCCACAACGCGTCATGGTCTCGCATTCGAACGAAAATCGGATTCTTCTTGCTATAGCTGCTCTTGAAAGAGACCCAAAGTTAACCGTTCGAGCCGCGGCAAAGATCTAT